GTGTGTGCTGCTTGCGCGACGCTGGTCCGTGCCGCTGTGCTGATTTTTCGATAAGTTGGAGGTCTGGGGTGGCCGCCGCTTGCCGCCCGCCACCGCCCTCGCCACCAGACGCCGCTGGCCGCCGTGGCGAGCCACCGTTGCCGTCGTCTCCGCCGCCGCCGCCGTCTTCGCCGCCGCCGTCTTCGCCGCCGTCCGCCCTCCCCATCGCATGAAGCTAGAGCCCTGGTGGGTGGGCGAGGGTCCCGGTCGTAGGTCTGGTGTAGCAAATTCTCTCCCTGGGGCGTGGTGTTGTATATGAAACGTGGCCGGCAGTGGAATCTGACTGGGGCGGGAGGGCGAGGGACCCAACCATGTGCATGTGTGAGTGCTTCAAGGCAGGTGGGATAGAAGGGAAGGGGCCAGCAAAATGACTGAGGCGTACGATTCGCCATACAAGGGAGGGGGCCTGGACCCTCCAAGACGAGCCATTTCAGACCCCCCCCGTGGGAGAACCCTCCCAAACATCGTCCCCAGACCCCCCCAGGCCCTCCAAGATAGCCTGGAAGAGACCCCCCCCGAAATGAGACCCCCCTCCCTTTATTACGAAATCTGGAGTACCCGAGACGTGCCCAACCGCTTCTCAGCGCGAGGCGGTTGTTTGTCCGAACGCTGCGTATCCACACACCGCAAGATCTGCACGGTCTGCGCTGCATTTCTTTCCGCCGTGCCTCCCCCCCCCAGGAGCCCGGGCCAGTGGCGACAGTTGCGCAGTTCGCAGCTCCCAAGGGAGCCGCGAGGTCAGACGTGATCTGCGCTGCCCTCACATCCGCCGCTGCCCACTTGAGTCCACGAACGTGGCTGCAGTTGCGCTGTTCGCAGCACCCCGTAGGAGCCGCGAGGTCTCGAAGTGATCAGCGCTGCCCTCACTTGTTCCGTGCATCCCATTTGCCCTCGAACTTGGCGACAGTTGCGCAGTTCGCAGCCCCAGAGGGAGCCGGGAGGTCCTGGAGGACCCGCGCTGCCCTCACCTCCGCCGCGCTTCCCAGGAGCCCGCGACACTGGCGACAGCTGCGCAGTTCGCAGCCCCCGAGGGCGCCGCGAGGTCTCAAAGGGATTCGCGTGTCCCTCCACTCCGCCGTGTCTCCCTGGAGCCCACAGAAGCGGCGACGTCTGCGCAGTTCGCAGTCCCTGAGGGACGCGCGAGGTGTCGCCTTCGTCCGTGCTGCCCTGCACGCCGCCGCGCCCTTGAGGAGCCCACGAGCGTGGTTATGTGTGCGCAGTTCGCAGCCCCCTGAAAAAGCTGCGAGCTGTCGCCTTCGTCCGTGCTTTCCTGCTCTCCGCCGCGTCTCCGAAAAGCCCACGCCAGTGGCGACAGTTGCGCAGTTCGCAGCCCCCTGCGAAGCCGTGAGGTCTCGAAGTGATCTGCGCTGTGCCTCCCAGGAGCCCACGAAGGTGGCGGCAGTCAAGTTGCGCAGTTCGCAGCACCCGAGGGACGCGCGATGTCCCACAAAGGATCTGCGCCGCCCTCAGCTCAGCCGCCCCCCCCAATAAAACCCACGAAAGTGGCGGCAGTTGTACAGTTCGCAGACTCCGAGGGAGCCGCGGAGTCCGAAGTGATCTGCGCGGCCCTCCTCCCCGCCGCTGCTTCCCAGCAGCCCACGGGGGTGGCGACAATCGCGCAGTTCGCAGCAACCGATGGAACTGCGAGGTCTCCAAGGGAATCGCGTGGCCTTTCCGTTCTGCCAGGCCTCCCCGGAGCCCACGAGAGAGGCGATGCTTGCGCAGTTCGCAGCCCCCCCAGGGGCGCCGGGAGGCGCCGCCTTTGCCCGTGGTTTGCCCTGCACTCCGCCGCGCCTCCCGGGAGCCCACGAACGTTGCGACGGTTGCGCAGCTCGCAGCCCCCCTGAGGGAGCCGCGAGGTCCCAGAGAGATCCGCGCGGTCCTGCGCTCCGCCGTGCCCACGGGGAGCCAACGAACGTGGCGGCAGCTGCACGCACGTCGCAGCCCCCCCGCAGGGAATTGACGGGCTCAGGCGGCGAGCGGGCGATAGCCAGGAGGAGAGGCACGGAAGCAGAAGAGGCAGGATCGCAGGCCTAGAGGTTAACACCAACACCAATATCGGTGTTCCTCCACCGCGGGAAGAAAATCCCGATCTCGGTGATGGTGGTAATATTCTGGCTTCCAAGGTGACCGAACTATTAGCACCAACACCGAAATCTAGGATCATCCCCCCCCTGTGGAGGCAGCCCCCTGTCTTGGTGTTGGTGCCAATGTCCAGGCCTCCAGCAGGAGGAGAGACGCCCGAGCAGCGCTCGGTTCGAAACGAGACCCCAACCGAGGGAGAGCTGGGACAGATGTCTTCAGGGCCCCCCCCCGCCCGGCGCAGGCGACGCGCTGCTCGGCAGCTGGCGCGTGTCGGAGAGTGGCCATGGGGCATCCAAAAGTACCGCTGCCCCTCCCCCGCTCCTCCTCCTCCTCCTCCTCCTCCTCCTCCTCCTCCTCCTCCTCCTCCTCCTCCTCCTCCTCCCTCAAGCAACAGCGGCCGCGGGGGGGTGTAGCCTGTTTTGGCTCCAACTCGCCATGTAGCCGTCCTCTTGTGCCTCCGCGTCGGTGCTTGGGGGACCGCACCCAGAGTACTCGTCATTGTACTTGCTGGCGCTGACTAAAACAAGAGGTTTGATCGCCAGGCTCGGAAATTTTGTTTTTGGCGCCCATGCTGTTCACGGGTGCGTCGAACTTGTCGGGCTCAGATCGGGTCGTGTCCACTTTCTGTCTGGCCGTCTTCCCGTTCTTCCTTGTCCTGCACGTGTTTTTCAAGCTCCCTCAGGCTGGGCAGGGCGTTGGTTTCGTCATTTACACTTCAGCCATCCCCCAGGGCCGCACGGGGGGGGTATCCTCTTTCTCTGGCTCCGGGCGCTTGCTGGTAGCAGTGGCATCCAGATCCCGTCATTTACAGTTCTGCTATCTCCCAAAGCTGTGTGGGGAGGGTACGGAAGGCGACATATTTCTTCAGCGTGGCTGGGACTGTGCCTCTTACCGTTCTCTCTTTCACGGTGGTGCTGCGAGTGGTGGTCAATTTTCAGTGCAATTGCAAGGGCTGGAGGCTTTTTCCTTGAATGCAATGAGGCTGTTTTCGGTGTGAACGATCCGTCAGGGTTGCCCGATGACCAGTTTTCTGTAGTGGGCCGTATCGAGTTTGCTCCGGTTCAGCTTATTTGTGCCAAGGGGGCTTTTGGCATTCTTTCAACTTCCTCTGTAGATTGTCTGGTTGTGTTGAAGGGGTGAACTGACTATCAATGTTTGGGAGGAACCCATCCGTGTGTCACCTCGGTCTCCGCGGGCTTCTCTTTCTGCCAGCTGTACGGAATGAAGTGCGTCTCCTACCTGTCCGTCGTGCTCTTCGACAAGTCCAGGGGGGGCGTCTGTTTCGAATCTTCGCTTCGCGACTGTTCTCACTCTCACTCGCTCACTCACTTCTCCTCCTCCTCCTCCTCCTCCTCCTCCTCCTCCTCCTCCCCCTCCCTCCCCTCCTCCTCCTCCTCCTCCTCCTCCTCTCCTCCTCCTCCTCCTCCTCCTCCTCCTCCCCCTCCTCCTCCTCCTCCTCCCCCTCCTCCTCCGCCTCCTCCCCCTCCTCCTGCTCACCGCTGTCGCGCGGCCACTTTCTGGGCCTCCCGGGGCGCGTTCTGACTAGGATTACGCGACGAATCCAGCGGTGGCGACGAGGGCCTATCCCAGGAGGCCCAGAACGGGGAGAACGAGGGACGGGCAGCGGCATGGGCACAGTCCACCATGACAGCAAGGATGGGGCAACTCTCTCCAAGGCTACCCTGCATCCCTGCCCCTTCGGTGTTTGGCATCCTTCGGCATCATGCCGCGCTCCGCGCGGAAAACGTCAGCATGGCGTTCCAAGGCCCTGGCATCCTTATCGCGCATCCTGGCTATTCGGGTTGAGTGTATGGTTTTTTTTTCTGAGGCCAGACGGTGGCCCTCGACCGCCTGTCCGCGTCCTCGCGGCCCAGCACCGCGCGCGGCGCCGCCTCTCACTCCTTGCAGCCGCCGCTGGGCGCGCGGCCCCCAGAGCGGCTGCCGGCGTCGAGGCCACGGGCCCATGTGGGTTCGATCGGTCCGATGCGATCTTGAATCGGCGCGGGGGGGGGGGCAGGACGAGGCTAAATCCGTTCCAGAGCATGCCGCCGCGGCACCTCGTGCACATCTTACAGAGCCGTCGGATCTCAGATTTATCTTCACCCGATGTTATCCTCACCGGTGGATGCCAAGGTGGGTTATATCTGGCTGGACCTAGCTCATAAGTGGATTGCACGTGCCCCAAGTGGCTAGGGGGGGATTCCAGAGGCTCAACGATCCGAGTGAAGTGGGCGGATCCCGCTCAGCGCACAGGCCAAACTGTAAGCAATACGTCAGCCCCACTTCAGACCCCTCAGTGACTCCCGCGGTGGGCGAAACAATTCGGCGCGATCGACCTGAGTCGATGCCGAGCTCCCCAGACCGCCGACGGATGTCAGGAGGGAAAAAAACACACTGACACAATTAATCGTCGATCCCCAAGAAAATATTGGAAAATATGGGAATTGGGCGGGAAGGCAAAAACCCAGAAAATATGAGAACATATGGGGAATCTGTTTATTTGTGTGTATTTGTTTGTGTGTCCCAGGGCCCTTTCAGGATGGAAGAAACCGAGACGCCAGCTGTTCTCCGTGTTTTTGCGGCCTCCGGGCGGCCGTCGGCGGGCCCCGGGGGCCGTCAGAAAAGAGCTGTTCGGGACGGCAGAGCGTGTCTTTCGAGGGCGTAAAGACCGCCCCTGCCTTGGTTTGTGAGGCGCTGTGCGCTGAACCTCCTGTGGGCTGACAGGGTCAGCCCTGCCTGGGTAGTCGAAGGCCAGACTGTCAGATTGGATCGGGCCCCCAGGGCCAATCTGGCCCGGCCAAACTGGATGATTTGGGTTCTTCGCCAGACTGGATTCGCGTCGGCTCCCTCGCCAGATTGCCCCCGTTTGCCAGATTGGGCCTGCCAGATTGGCTTCGACTACCCAGCCTGTGGGCTGACAGGGTCAGCCCTGCGTATCGCGCGTGCCGCGAGGCGTTCTGGCGGCTCTCTGGCCTGCGCGAGCTCCCAGGAGGTTTACTGACCACGCGCTTGTCACCCAAGTCTTGGGGATGGGGTCCCTGGCGATCCGAGGCGGCACGATGCTTGCGCAGCGTCGCTGCGTGCGTCGTGCCTCTGCCGATCCAGGGTGAGAGTTCCCCGCCGTGCTTTTGCGCGGCCCCACTCGGTGCAGGTTCCCGTCCGATCATCGGTTTCCCGATCCGATGCCGACCGATCTTGGAGGCCCCTTCCGCGACGACGCCCCTCGCCTGGCTCCAGGGCGTGGGCGGGCGGCTGGAGGGGTGCCTCGAGGGCGACGGGGCTGCCGCGGATGGCGCTCGTCACGGGAGGGGTCGGCTGCCCAGAGGCCGACGCGTTGAGGTGTGTCACGGCAGTCGAACTCCCATGCTAGGGATGGGTAACCCTCGCAAGGGGTGCCCTGGCATCCTTGGGACTGTCGATTGGCCGCGCTCGAAAAGGTTTCAACACGGGTGTCTGAGGGGCTTGCGCCCCTAACGTGTATTTTCCTCACCAGTTTTGACTGCATTGGGCTCTGAACAAGTCCCGACCCCTTCCCCGGGACCGGCTCTTCATCCCGACCAATGTTTTGGCGGCCCGAGCTTTGGTGAGGGCCCCCTGAGGCCGAAAGGCGGTTCGAATTCCGTCCTCGCCGGGACCCGTCCCGGGTCTTGCGAGGGCCACCGAATGCCGAAGATGTATCACATCATCCATCGAGATGTTCTCCATTCGCTGGAGATCAGGGTTTCGTCTTGGGTGAGAAACACGTCCATATTCACGGCCTCGCGGGCCGGGCTCCTGGGGTGTGACCTCATGGATACGGAGCGTTGTTTCGCGGATGCCCCTCGCGGAGCGTGTCCATGCGATTGCCTAAGGCGCAGTTTTTCGGTATAGCCCGGCACGTTTGTTTGCATGGAGGGGGTTGGGCGCGAGGCGAGGCCCCGAAGGAAATCTGCACTTGCCGCATGTCGGAGCTCACCTGCACGCCTTTGCTGCCCAGCACTGCTTGACATGCAGTCCCCTGGATGACATATGGGGCCGCCTCAGACCTTAGACATCCGATGGCTTCATTGTTTCACTGCGGGGTCCCAAGAAGTCCTGCCCTCTTCCTAGGGCTGGCTCTTCGTCCCGAGTCTCCTCTTGTCGGTCCCATGGCCCGGCGAGAGCCGCCAGAAGTGGAAAACGGCGAAACACCACAATATTGGATATCGGACGTCGCGAACTGAACATACAGTATGGCCGAAGATCACGACTGAGGTCCCAGACCAAAGCTGCTATCGCATTTTCCGAGCCGATTCGACCGCTAGTGGCCCTGGACCTCGAAATTTGGCGAAACCTTCGCTGCGAACAAAAATTGAATTCAACGCCCCCATGGGCCCAGGGGCTGAAAACGGCAAGTAAACGCCGTCTCATTTGTTGGGGAAATGCGTCGGAGGTTAGAGATGCCCCACGGGACCCCGAGGGCGTGGACATCCGCGGGCGAGAAACATATCCGCATCCGCGGCTTCGCGAGCCTAGCCCCTGGGCCGTGACTCCGCGGATGCGGGGTGCATGTTTGCAAATGTCCCGCGCGGAACGCATCCGTGCATCGAGGATCAAAGGACCTCAAAAACCCTCATAATATACTGAAGACGTAAAACCGCTCTTAGGTCCCCGTCTTGGCATTAGGGATAAGAAGTCTGTGCGGTTTGGTCTGGTACATCTGCAGACAAAGAAAACACCTCTATTCCTATAATTGTGTCCGGCCCTCCTACCTTAGGTCCCCTCCCACAGGGATAGGGGGCCTTTTATTTTTAAGCATCCGTACGACCGCGTATCCGCAGGACCGCGCCACAGAATACAGACCGCGATGGTGCGGATACGGTCATGCTGGCCGCTCGTGGCCCCGGGGGCGCACACGGCGGAACACCGCCGTCCTGAACTGCAATCATACGTCGGAGGTTTGGGGATGTTCCAGAGAGGGAAAACTCGCAGTTGCCCCCGGCAGCCCTCCCCCACACTGTGGGCCCCAAGACGCCCAGCATGCTCCCAATTTGCCCCCAAGAGACCCCCAATAAGTCTTCCGAGGGCCCCCCAGGTGGACGTTTCTGTTATTCATTGTTTTGCCGATCGGCGCGGGCCCTCGCACCCCCCCCTCCCCCTCCTGGAGTAGATCTTGGCTGTTTTTTGGCGCTTGTTTCGAGCAGCGGAAGTCTCCCCCCCCCACAGGACGCACGGCCCAAAACAGCCGCACCAAGCGGAGGTCCAGGGCCAGACCCCCCCCTCCCCCCCTCCCTTCAACCCAATGCCGAAACGCCGGAAAGCAAAACGTTCACCAGAGCACCTGGCAGCCCGAGGGCCCCCCCCGAGCACCCGGGAGCCTCGAGCAGGCCTCCGGAGCAGGGCGCGAGGGCGGCGATTTGGCGGTGCCCCCCGCTCGTGAGCGGGGCCGCGCCTCGAGAGGCCCAGCAGCGCCTCCGCGCAGCCGCCCGCACGCGGCCCCCGCGCGGCGCCGGGCGCGCCGCCGTCGCCGCCGGGCAGCGGCGGCGCCGCCCGCGCGGTGCCTGTGGACGTGGAGGCCCCCAGCGGCCGCCGACGGCGGCGGGCGGCGGGAGGCCCAGCAGATTGAAGCACGTCTGCAGTCGGGCGTGTCCCGCCACCAGGGGGGGGAGGTTCAAGAAGAGTGCGGGGACGATGGTCTGACTAGTTCGGGGGACTTGCTCTACTAGTTTGGACTGTGTTCGATTTTGCGCCCACAATCCGCCTGCAGGGGGTCATGCCCGACCTACAGCATGTCCCTATCCCTGTGTTTGGCATCACCTTACCTCAGCATATCGATATTGACAGTTTCTGAGGGCCTGTCCCTGAGATTGTCATCGCTCTCGGCTTGCCCATCTTAGGGGTAGGGATCAGTACCAGGCTGGTTGGAGTTAGAGGCGGCCAGTGGCGGAGGCCGCTGCGGCGACTGCGACGACGACGGCGGCGGGCGGCGACGGCAACGACGACGGTAGCGGCGGGCGGTGTTTGGCATCACCTTACATCAGTAATGTCAGCTTGCGATTAACAGATGACCCCCCACCCTGGGGCTGATGAGTAGACCCCGCGGGGCGCGAAACGTTTTGTTTCAATCACGTGCGCCAGGGGGTCGTCGCTGGCGCCGCCGAGGGCATCGTGCACCCGCCCGCATGACAGCCTCAAAACGATTGCCTTTTTCGTATAGAAGGTGTCATAGGGGTCGTACACATCCGAGGCGATTTTCTTCTCCCCTCTCAGGCGTCGTCGCCGCCGTCGTCGTCGTCGTCGTCATCGTCTTCTTCGTCGTCTTTGTCGTCGTTGTCGTCGTCGTCGTCGTCGTATTTGTCGCCTTCGCAGTCCTTGTCGTCGTCGACTATAGCGAACCTGCGCGCAGCGCCCCCCCCCCCCCATAGGGCATTCGCTGTGCGTCGCCGTCCGCCGTCCCTCGTCCTCGTCCTCGTCCCATGATCGTCGTCGTCGTCGTCGTCATTGTCGTCGTCGTCGTCGGCGTCGTTGGCGACTACAGACCACGACAGGGGGGAGGAGGACTGCCCGCCTTGCTCGGGTCGGACGAAAGGCTGGGGAAGGGAGGGGCGGTTGCGAAACCTGCTGCGCGATGCTGGCTCCGGTCGCCCCGCCGAGGGGCCAATCCTCGATGCATGGCCGTTTTCGGCGCCAGGGGGCGTTCGGGAAATCAGCAATGTGAGCTGCTGGGCAAACTCCCTCTTGGCCACGCCCCCTGTCGTCCAGCTCGCTTTGCTCGCGGGCCTGCGGGGCAGCTGGCGCTCCTATGGCTGCAGCCAGGGCAAAGGAAACGCATCGGTGCGACAGAAAAGAGTACGGAAAGTGCGGGGGCGAGCGCCGACAGCAGTTCTTGTTCATTTCAAACAAGTGTCGCCCTGGCTCACGGTCCTTGTTTCTGCCGCCTTTGCTTGCCGCCCCCCCTCCCGTCCCCCAGTCTGTGCTGTTTGTCGCCATCTCGTTAGGCGCCGGACGTCGGCGCTCATCACTTGCGGCGCCCTGTTGGTTTTCAACTTGGCAGGCGCCATCCCGCAATTCGCCCGAGCGGGGGAACTATTAAAAAACGCGCGCCCCCCCCCCCCCCACGGATTTGTTAATCACAAGCTGACATGATACCGATCCTGATTAAACCCCCTCAGTTTCTCAAGGCCTGTTCCCTAGATTGCCATCGCCCTCGGCTTGCCCATCTTAAGGATAGTGATCAAATCCAAGCTGGTTAGAGTTAAAAGCGGCTGGTGGTGGAGGCCGCTGCGGCGACGGCAGCGACGACGGCGGCGGGCGGCGGCGGCTGGCGGCGGAAAGCGGCGGGCGGCGGGGGCGGGCAGCGGCGGCGGGCGGCGGCGGGCGGTGGCGGGTGACGGCGGTGGCGGGCGGCGGCTGGCGGCTGAGGCGAAAGGGGGGGCGGCGGCGACCTGGGCCGTGCGGTGTTCGTTCCCCCTCCTGTTCCTCCTCCTCCTCCTCCTCCTCCTCCTCCTCCTCCTCCTCCTCCTCCCCCTCCTCCTCCTCCTCCTCCTCCTCCTCCTCCTCCTCCTCCTCCTCCTCCTGTACTGAGGCCTCCCAGTTTAGTTTTGTTGAATGCGTGGCGTGGCCCAACCCCACGGATATTTCCGTTCTGGGCTAGCTGTGGCTCGCCAAAGCCCCCAACCGTGCGACTGCACCGCTGACTAGCGCACCCTCGGCATTTGAGCTGAATGTCTGGTGTTGGATTTTCATACAGGTCAGACTCGTGTACTTGCTGAGCTCCGCCGCCGCCGCCTCCTCCTCCTCGTGCCGTGAAGGAGTTTTGGGCGGTGGCAGCGGCCGTGACGGCCCCATACTTCCGACGTCCTCACACGCAGAGGAGGAGAAGGTGCCAATTCCGCTACCTTTTGCCCGTGTTCCCTTTTTTGGGCCTCCTGGGGGGCCCTCGTCGCAACCCCTGGATTCTCTTTGATATTCTGGTCAGAACGCATCCCGGGTCGGCTGAGCTTGGATCGGCGCGGGGGGGTGTTGAGGAGGCGGTGGGTTGTCAGTGGATTCCAGGGTTGGTTATGTCTGGCCTGACCTGGCTTTGGAGTGGGTTGCATGTATCCCAAATGGCTAAGGTGGGGGTGGATCACTCCGCAAAGTTGGCGGAGCCTATTTGGCCCGGACCTTTCATTCTTCCCCCCTCAAGCAATTTCGTGTATGTGCAGCCCGCTTACAAGCTAGAGAAGGCAAGATATCACCCACGTCAACATCAGTCGATACTTCCCCTTAGCAACCTCCGATTCAATCAAAGTCTGTTTTCGGGCAGGGTTCACCCCTTGGGGTTTCGCATTCACTCTCCTAGATTCTAGGAATTCGACGCGCAGTAGATGGGGATCGAGATATTGTCTTTAGTCGGGCCAGATGCCATCCACAATTAACTTCAGCGTCTTTGCTTTGGAATTATGTCCCGCCTTGGACCTGGATATAAATCTTGCCTGCCATGTTGCATGCGTCTCACGTGGCATAGTGGTTTCGCCAAAATCCGTAGGCGGTCTCGTTCCCATGTTGTTTCGTGCTGTGCTGCATTTTCCAGTCTGCTGCCTCCGATGCATTTCGGCCCTTTAGGTTATACCGTCCTTGACGCTCATTGGTGACCCGGTACGTGAATCTACCATGCAACTAACATCGAGTGGCGGGCACGTTGTGGCGCAGGTGACATCGGAAATGCGCCACCTACCCTTGGCATGCTCGAGACAGACGATTCAGAGGACGTGCAGGGAACGCCCCCCAATTCCAGTTTCGTGACCTGTGAGTATTTCCTCTTGGGGTTGTCTTGAGCAGAAATCACAGACACGAGAACCAAGGCTTCTGAGCGTCTCGGGCCCTCCTCACCGACGACGATTATGATCAAGATTTCTGAGCTTTTCGGGTCCTCCGTGATGATGACGATGAGGCCGATGACGTTATGCTAGCCTGCAACAAGCCATCACACGAAGACGGATGCCTCTGATCGTTTTCGGTCCGCCTTCATGACGATGATGACGATGCTCACGGCTTCTGTGCGATTTGGCCCTCCCTGATTGTGACTGTGATGATGAGACGCTAATCCAAACCTCCTGCATCGTGAAGTTTTCACAACGTGGACCCCTGGAGGTCTGGACGTTTCCCCTGGCGGCCAGTTTTACATCCTGGGCGTTTTCTCCTGCGGTCCTCGGGTCAGGAACGGCCCCTGGAGAGCGAAAGGTTGCAGCATCTCTTCCCGTGATTTTTCTTAGGCACAGGGCGTTGAAATCGCCGTTGTTGACAATGACAGTTACGATGACGTCGAGGACGTGACGGCGGCGACGTCACCAGCGCCGTTGTTGACGACGGCAGCGACGACGACGTCAAGTTGGAGGAGGAAAATGTCGCCAGCAGAGGTCTCCAGAGGTTGGAGGCCTCCAGAGGCTTCCAACAGCTGTCGAATGAGCCAACACGCATCCAACAATCTTTCGCTACTGGATTTTCGAACTGGACGGCGATGGCTCTCGCCCTCCCTCCCTGATCCACTGTCCCCCCTCCCTTCCCCTCCTCCTCCCTTGTCCCGACGACGGCGTTGACGACTGCGACGACGTTGATGATGGGGCAAGCAGGCGTTGACGACTAGGACGACCTTGATGACGACACTGACGACAACGACGCCGATTCCCGAGGCCACTGCGACGGCGACGGTGACGACGACGGCAACGGCGACGACGACGGCGACGGCGACGGCCACGTCGAGGAGGAGAGGGCGGCGGCGGAGGCAGCGGAGGGCGGCCCCTCGAGAGGCTCGCCCCGATGTTGAGACGAGGACGACGACGGCGATTGTGGTGGCGACGCAGAGATCACGACGACGACGACGACGTTGGCGACTTTGACGGCAACGGATGGGGTTGACGATTTTCTTAATGTCTTACACTCCGCTTCGCGTGCTACGTGGTGCAATGATTGACGACGCCACCGCCAAATCTAACAATGCGAAAGAATTTTCTGGCGAGCGATGATTATGCCATCCCATTGCCAAAGCCCGGTAGCGCACCGAGGGCACCTAGTGGTTCACCGCCGTCGCCAACGCACAGATCACCAACCTCAGTACTTCGCATACATTTGAAGGCTGGACCGTCGCCAAATATTAGTTTGCGGCAGTAGAGAACTTGACAGTCTGTGCGCAGTTCGGTTATCGAGGCCTTTGGTTGAAGGAGCGCACGGCTCATGAAACAGACTGTCTCAGTTTGAAGTCCACGGCAATTGAGGCCGCAACCCCCTGCGCCTCCGCCAGGTCCGCCATGTAGAAGCCATGGCCTGGTCCGCCTATCCTTAGACAGACTTGGAGGATGTTCCGCATTGGCGGCTCGCTTGCTCCTCGTCCTTCTCATCTTTCTCGACGACGACGGCATTGACGGTGTCCACAACGTTGACGTTGACGACGAATGTGATGACGATGACACCACCCACGACGACGACGACGACGACGACGACGACGACGACGACGACGGTGACAACGACGTTGACGACGACCACAACGACGGTGACGACGTCGTATAGGACGACCACACGACGACGACGACGACGACGACGACGACGGCGACGACGACGACGACGACGTTGACGATGATGTTGAGGACGGCGACGTAGGCGGCGGCTCCCTCGAGGTCGCTGGCGGCCCCGCGCGGCGGCGCGCCCTATCGGCCTCGGTGGACTCGCGGGGGCTGTTTGCGGTCGCAACCGGCGGCAGTTTGCCGTGTGGGGGGGTGCGTTTGGTGATCGATCTTCCAAGGACGTCATCTCTCGAGAGGGATGCCGGGCTCGAGGGTCAGGGGGCCGAGGTCCGAGGATCGAGGTGTTCCCTTGGGAGGGGCCCGACAGGTGTGTCTGAGATGTCCTTGAGGGGCCATTGTCGTCGCCGGCAGACAGGCATTGTCAGATGTACGTCTGTTCCTGCTCGGCCCTCCCGGCGACGTGGGCGTTACGATTTTGTCACCTCGGGCGTTTTCGTCAAGGAGGGCCAGAGCATTCGCTGCAGGGGGAGCAGGCGGGACGTATTGGGGCCCTGCCATGAGTTCGACCACACTCACCCCCCTCTTGGACGCCCCCGACGTCCATCGTTGTCCGTCCGTCTGTCTGGACCGTGGACCGTGGGGGCTCCCGCTCGCAGTGCCTCCTGCGACCTGGGCACCTTGAGGCGGCAAGGTTCAGCTTCTGCCGCTGCCCGTTGGCCTCTCCTGGGCCCCCAGGGACAGTCCAGAGTCTGAGCGTCACCCCGACGCGCACGGATCAGGAGGGGAAAAAACACACAGACATAATCAATCGGCGACCCCACGGAAAATATGGGAAAATATGAGGAAGTGGGGGGGGGGAGACAAAAACCCAGCACATATGGGAAAATATGGAGAATCCTGTTATTTGTGTGTACTTATTTGTGTGTCCCAGTTCCCCTTCAATGTTCGGCTTCTGTCGCTGCCCGTTGGCCTCTCCTGGGCCCCCAGGGACCGTCCAGAGTCTGCGCGTCACCCCGACGCGCACGGAGCATGCGCCCACCAAGCATTACATCGCGAAACATGGTGACTGGAGCTGTCGGCCCCATCCATCTGCTGCATTTTTCGAGCTGAATCGGCCTGTGATGGCCCTGTGTCCCGGAAACGGGCAGAGTGGCCCTGCGCTGCACTGCGCTAGCAATGCGACGCCCAGCACGCAGCCGGAGGAGGAGGAGGACGGGGAGGCGGAGGAGGACGGGGAGGCGGAGGAGGAGGAGGAGGAGGAGGAGAAGGAGGAGGGGGAGGGGAAGGATGACAAGCTAGGTGCGCTCGCGTCATGTCTGACGTCCTAACCCTCCCTCCCATCCCTTACCACAGCGCAGATCTCCCCTCTATTCACACAATCGGATGTCGCAACATGGCGCAGCATTACATGGCATAGCATGGTGTCGAAGATCAAAGCGTAGCATGACATAGCATGACGTGGCGACACCCCAGAGTGGGAGGGGGGGTTTTCTGCGGCCCAAGAAATTAAGAAGACGACACCGAATGTGGTATCACTTCAGCTGTTGTTTTCGGGAGGCCATGTTCTAGATTTTGGGGCCTACTTGGAAGGAGCGGAAACCGTGCCGCGGCATGGCACTGGGAATCATAACGCCAGCGCTGCAGCGGGAGCACAATTCGGGACGAGTGGAAGCGCGGACATGAGGCCAGCGCTGCAGCTGGAGCACGATTCAGAACGAGAGCGGTGGGCCGAAAATGAGGCCAGCGTTCCAGCGAGAGCAGCATTTTGGAAACAACAAGGAAAGCGGAAACGAGGACGCGTAGCCTGACATAGCATGGCGTGGCGACGCCCCACAGTGGGGTGGGGGGGCTTCGGAGGCCCAACAATGAACGAGTCGACACCGAATGTGGTATCATTTCCAACGGTTTTTGTTCGGGGGGGCATTTTTTAGAATTTGGGGCCTACTTGGAAGGACCGAAAACCATGCCGTGGCATGGCGCTGGAAATATTGACGCCAGCGCTGCAGCGGGAGCACGATTCGGAACGAGCGGAAGCGCGGAAATGAGGCCAGCGTTGCAGCGGGAGCACCATTCGTAACGAGCGGTAGGCCGAAAATGAGGCCAGCGCTTCAGCGAGAGGAACATTTTGAAAAAAAAACGCCAAGCGAAAACCCACCTCCCAGAAATCCAGTATGTAAAAAACCAGTACGCGGAGGGGGCCGAATATTTCCCAGACGCCACCAGGGGAGAGAGGAGAGTGGCAGTCACATATTTTGCAAATGTGGAGAAGGAGGAGGAGGAGGAGGAGGAGGAGGAAGAAGAGGGGAGGCAAAGTGGCCCAGTGTTGAAAGACTGCAATGCGCCCAGTGTTGAAAGACTGCAATGCTTGGATGCCGGACTCGGGAAGAAGGACGAAGACGGACGGCGACGGCCGACAGACGGCAGCCGACGCACGGACGGCCGTCAATGGACGCCGAGGGTCACCACCCACCAAACCACCCAAACCCAACTTGAAGGCGCCAATTTGCCCTCCGTTCCCAGTGGGAGGGGGGCGTCGGGGAATACTGCAGGAACACATGTGGAGCCCGCACCCCCCCACCCGAAATGTGGGTCTCCGGATCGGGCTGAGGTGTGTGAAGCCCGCACCTCAGAGCCACGAATTATCAGGGGTAATTCGGGTCAGGGCTAACTCGGGTTCGTCTTTCGGGATTCCGAACCCGACTTACCCCGGACCCGAGTTACCCCGGATAATTCGGGCGTCCAGAGCCCCGAATCATCAGGGGTAATTCGGGTCAGGGTTCACTCGGGTTCGTTTTTCGGGAACCCCAACCCGAGTTACCCCGGACCCGAGTTACCCCGGATAACTCGGGCGCCCAGTGTGAAGCCCGCACCCCCCCACCCGACATGTTGTCTCCGGGATGCATTGGGGTTGCTTTGGTCGGCAGTCGCAGGGCGGCCTGGGGCCGCCGGTCGCGCCGCTGTCGCCGTCCGTCCGTCGTCCGCTGTCCGTCCGCCGTCGTCTGAGGGCCCGACGCCGTCGGCGTTGGTCAGAGCCCCGAATCATCAGGGGTAACTCGGGTCAGGGCTAACTCGGGTTCGTTTTTCGGGATTCCTAGCCCGACTTACCCCGGACCCGAGTTACCCCGGATAATTCGGGCGTCCAGAGCCCCACATCATCAGGGGTAACTCGGGCGCCCAACTCGCCCTCGCCGTCGTCCGTCGGTCGTGCCTCGCCCGTCCTCGCCGTTGCCCGTCGGTCGTCGGCCGCGGCCGTCGCCCGTCGGTCGTCGGCCGCGTCCGCCGCCTTCCCGCAGAGGTCGCCTGCGTTGCCGGGGCCAGCCCGGGCACAGCGCGCAAACCGCGCGCGCCGCCGTCGCTAGCGCAGGCGGCGCCGCCGCCGTGTTTGTTCGAGCCTGGGCCCTTCGGTTTTTGTTCGGTCCTTGGACGGAGCAGCGTCAGGGAGGGATGGGCTCAGGGGTCACTGTGCGCGGAGGGGGGGGGTTCGAACGTCTTCGTCAGCTCCTGCAGGTTGCTCTGCCTGGGGATGCGTTCCAGCTGCGGCGCCGCGCCGAGAGGCGTCCAGGGGGGCCTGGGGGTCGTCCTGGCCGGCCGCCTTCGAGACCCTCAACATCTTGAAACAAATCGAGACGGCGTTGTGTTTTGCCGGTTTTGGCCTCTGGGGGCCCTCGCGGGGCTTCGGGACCAATGGAGGGCGACGCAGGATGAACAGCCGGTCCTGGAGAGTGGGTCGACATTTCGATCATCGATCGGAGTTCGACCGATCATCGGATGAACGGTCGGGCTCCGATCGATGATCGATGATCGATGATCCAGGTCGCGTCTCGATCGAGGATCGAGGATCGATGATCGATGATCGATCGTAGCTCGATCGATCATCGATCGAGATCCGACATGGACATTAATGTTCGGAGCTCCTTGCGGAGTTCTTGGTGGCGACCTCCTGGCGGCTCCTGCTGATTTACGCCCCGTGCGCGCCCGGCAATCGTTCTCTCGATCTTCGATCACTCCAGGGGCAGCGCTCGGGATGGGGTACAGTCCGACCGAGGTACAAGATCGAGGTCGTGTCGGCGAGGACCCCCCAATGTTCTTCGTGATTGTGGGATGCTCTTGTGCACCCTGCGGAAGAGACCCTTGGATATTCTGGGTCTTCTGGCTGGCGGAGGGTCTCGTGCTCTTGACGGATGCCCTTCTGGCCCAGGTCCGGCTGGAGGCTCAGGGTGGGCTGGATCGATGCCCAATCACCCAGCCATCGCCGAGAAGGGCCTGATGGCCCACCCCGTCCAGGATCGACCACGCGCAGAAGGTCAGAGCCCCGAATCATCAGGGGTAATTCGGGTCAGGGCTAACTCGGGTTCGTCTTTCGGGATTCCGAACCCGACTTACCCCGGACCCGAGTTACCCCGGATAATTCGGGCGTCCAGAGCCCCACATCATCAGGGGTAACTCGGGTCAGGGCTAACTCGGGTTCCTTTTTCGGGAATCCAAACCCGAGTTACCCCGGACCCGAGTTACCCCGGATAACTCAGGCGCCCAAAGAAGGGGGTAGGGGGAGGGGGGAGGGCTTTTTGGAAGCGCCCGGCTTCTTGGAAGGCGTGGGCCTTGTCTGCATATAAGGCCGTCGCCTTCTAAGGAGTAGCCTTCTTTTTAGAAGCGTTCCCCCCTCCCCCCACCCCTTAAGCGCGCCGCCAACAGGATCATTCGGACTTGCTATTTCCGCGGCCAGTAACCTACCTCTCGGCGATGCATCACGTATTCCAGGCCGATGTTCCCCCCCCCCGCGCCATTCCCCGACTTCAGGTGATCTGAGATCCGAAATGCTGAGACACCCGCGGGGGCGTGCAGATCATCGCGCCTCCCGCGTCGCGGATTGGGCAGCAGGCGCAGCCTTCTTCAGAGCGGCCCCGCGAGGGCGCGAAGATAGCCCGCGCATCGCGGGGTTTAGACTCAAGTCCGGCCTGTCCCTCTACAGAGGGGGAATATTCAAAAATAGTAAAACATAGTCTGGAGACTATTTGTTTACGTATATGTTTGAGCATTTGGGGGTTATTTTTTTAGTATTTTTTATTTTTCGCCTGAAATCCCCCTGTAGGGGGACACGCCCGAATTACGTTTAGACTGAGTATCGCTTAACCGATCCCCATCCCCAGCGGCGTGGCCTGGGCCCCACTGGCCGATCTACCCCCCTAGATGGGGATATGGGTCGTTCCCTCTGGGTTTCGAGGGGGTGTATCCCCAACTGGGGTGGCAATTTGATGGGGGTCTCGAAGGGGATGGGGATGGGGATGGGGATTGGTTAAACGATACCGGTAGACATTTAGATGCACGATCTTTGGATCCTCCAACCTTCGATGATCCAGGCCGCTTTCCTCCCCCCCGCTCTCTTCCTCAATCCCGGTGTCTTCGAGCCTCGATGCCCGTTTCCTCGATCCGCGATGCTTCGATCCCTGACCATCTCGACCCTTCGATGCTTCGATCCACGATCCCATGGATCCTCGAACCTGCGATCCTCGAGCCCCCGTCTCCCTCCTCCTTTCCTCTCTCGCCCGCTCCCCTCGGATGTCTCAGGTGGGGTCACGGGTCGAGGGGGCTCCTCCGGGACTCCTTGGGCACCCCGGGGAGGCTTCCCGTGAACCGTGACCTTGGAGACCTTCCGGGGGCGTGAGGGAAGAGGGAGAAGGTCAGAGGAGGAGGGAAGAGGGAGAAGGAGGGAAGAGGGAAAGGAGGGAGAAGGTCAGAGGAGGGAAGGAGGGAGAAGGAGGGAAGAGGGAGAAGGTCAGAGGAGGAGAAGGTACCCACGCCTCTGGCCTTCGCCCGTTGTCCCTCTCTTTGGGCCTCCTGGGAGGCCTTCGTCGCCACCGCTGGGTTCGCCTCGAAATCCTGGTCAGAGCGCACCCTCGGGAGAGATCTGGGGAGTATCGGGGGCGGAAAAGAGGGGGTGATGACTAGGGGGGGGGGGATATCATGGCGAGGGCCATGATATTTTCCCAGATTTCATGGCGCCTCTTCTTGTTTCATTACGTCCCCAGCCCCCCCCCCTGGGCAGCGCACATGCCGCCGGTCATGATTTGCACCCCCCCCTCTTGGACACCCCCCTCTTGGCCGCTCCCGAGAGTAGCGGTATTGGTACCTTCTGGAGTTCCCCAGAAGAGGGGTCGAGCATCGACGCTTCGAGAATCCAAGGGATCGTGGATTCGAGCATCGACGCATCGGAGGGTCGAGAGACGTTCCAGACGATCACGGATGGAGGGATCTTTTTTTTCCAGGGATCGAAGATCGAGTGGACGAGGGATTGATGTCCAGGGATCGAGGTATCAGGGGGTTGGTGGCTCGAGGCATCAAGGGATCGAGGATCCTCGTTCGAGGGATCGCGGGATAGAAGAATCGAGGGATCGAGAGATCGGGGATCGGGGATCCAAGGTTGGGGCATCCAAGATCGAGCAGCCAGGTTTGAGGATCGAGGTTCGAGCATCGAAATACGAGGCGTTTTGATAACGCTGGGCCTCCTGCCGCGGTCCTGGGCCTCCGTCGTGAGGCGTTTTGACGCCAGGTCTCTCCATGGCCGCGTCTGGATTCTCTTCGAAAGTCTAGCCAGACAGCACCCCAGACAGTGCCAGGGGTCGACTTTGGGAGGCAATCGTCCGTGGATTCTGGCGAGTTGATTTGCAGGCGAGGGCGGAAAGGAAAATTGGATGTTACGCAACTCGGGACTCACTTGTACGCCTTTTCGGCCCAGCGTTGTTTTGAAGCGGCGGCGGAGGGAGGGCGTGTGGGGGGGATTCCACGCACGTAAGCCTGCCAGAATCGGAACAGAGATCTGCCCCGACCCAGCCTTTGTGGGCCCACGTGGCTCCAGGTGGTTCCCTGCTACCCCGCTGGATCGTAGTAGAGCTTGACAGGCTCCTCTGGCCCACGTGGTCCCGTACGGTTCCATGGGGCCGAAAGGCCCCTTAGGAGCCACCCTTTGATGTACCGAGGGCCTCAGAGGTGCCATGGGGCAATACGTTAGCCATTCTCGGGCCGAGTTCGAAGATAGGCAAGGCCGCAGGGGAGTGCCCCGTGAATCAGGCGTGCAGAAAAATGTTGCAGTTTGTCTTTTGGTCAAACACATGGAACTGATTCTCTCGGCCCGAAGAGAAATGGACACACCCGGCGCAAATCCAAAGCAGCATCCAGAGAGCATCAGTCGTAGAGTTCCGGGGAGTGAAACCCACGCGATCCTGTCGCAAGTGCGATGGGCAATTGAACTTCAGGGGAGTTGGAGTTAGAGGCACAGGGGTGGTGGGAGGATAGGGAGGAGGAGAGGTGGAGGGGGCGACGAAGAGAAGGAAGAGGTTGGCGAGGACGAAGAGGTGGGCGATGAGGAGGGTAATTAGTGGGATGACAGGAGGAGGGCGGCGGTGAGGAGGAGGTGGATGAGGACGAGGATGAGGACCTGGGGGCAGGGAGGATGAGGTGTCACGATGAGACAGGACTGATGATGGATGGGGGACGGGGACAAAAGAAAAGAGAGGAGGGGGGATGGAGGAGGGCGGACTGAAGAACGGAGATGATGAAGAGTTTGACGATGGAGAGGAGGAAGAAGATGGCAACGACTTTGAGTAAGGGTAGGATGAGACGGAGAACGTTGAGCAGCAAAGAAGGTAGACAGAAGCATTCTGAGTCAGATGCAGATGGAACGATCGATGGTGTATGTGGCAGTGCTGATGTATGTGTATATGTATACGCCGATGCATGTTAGCATGCACATGTGGATGCAAATGCGTATAAATTTGGGTGTGCATAGCCGTGTGCTCATATGCGATCTGACGTTGAATCGGGCTTTGATGGATGTGCGGACGCCCCCTTCGTTTTTATCAGAGTGAGGGGGCCGAACGGTCATTCACTGTCCCTGGGTGCGTGGCTGAAGTGGAATTCCGCGGTGCGGATTCTCGTGGTTGTTGTTTGTTGTTTGTTGTTGTTTGTTGTTGTTGTTGTTGTTGTTTGTTGTCGTCGTCCCACCCGCAACCCGCCCCGCGACCCGCCCCGCGACCCACCCCGCGACCCACCCCGCGACCCACCCGCGACCCACCCGCGACCCACCCGCGACCCACCCCGCGAACCTCCCCGCGACCCACCCCGCGACCCACCCCGCGACCCACCCCGCGACCCACCCCGCGACCCGCTCGCGGCCCACCCCGCGACCCACCCGCGACCCACCCGCGACCCACCCGCGACCCACCCGCGACCTACCCCGCGACCCACCCGCGACCCACCTTCGACCCAAACCACGTTCAAGGTACAAACCATCATTTTCGGCGCCTGCGGCAGGCTTTTTTTGCATTCCTTCCAGGTGGAGAGCCCGCGACCCACCCCGTGACCAACTCGCGACTAACCCGCGACCCAAACCACGTTCAGGGTACAAACTACATTTTTCGGCGCCTGCGGCGGGCATCTTTTGCATTCGTTTCAGGTAGAGAGCTCGCGGCCCACCCGCGACCACGTTCAGGGTACAAACCACATTTTTCGGCGCCTGCGGCGGGCATCTTTTGCATTCGTTCCCGGTGGAGAACCCGCGGCCCACCCGCGACCCAAACCACGTTCAGTGTACAAACCAATTTTTTGGCGCCTGCGGCGGGCTGCTTTTGCATTCTTTCCAGGTGGAGGTGGAGAGCCCGCGACCCACCCGCGACCTAAACCACGTTCACTGAACAAACCAATGCCGCACAAGCGCGGCGGCGGATTTCCTGCATGCCGTCTGAGCCCGCAAGGACCTCTTCAAGCCCCGCGCATCCACACCAGCCCGTCCAGCAACTGTGCCCTGGCGAGTTGCCTTGATCAGAGAAGGCGGGGAGCATGAAGTGGAAAAAAGGATTGCGTTGCAGTTATCTTGGGAAAGGAGGGGGAGGCAGACGGAGTAAACAGGGGACGACGAGAACGCGGAAGGAAGGAGGATGTACGGAGAATGTGGAGAAAGAAAAGCAGGAGGAGCAGGAGGACGAGGAGGGGGAGGAGGGGGAGGAGGGGGAGGAGGGGGACGAGGAGGGGGAGGAGGGGGAGGATGAGGATGATGATGGACGACAATGGGAGGACGATGATGGAGGCCGATGAGGGGGAGGACGACAATGGGAGGACGATGATGAAAGGACGAGGGGGGAGAAGGAGGACGAGGAAGAAGAGGAGGAGGAGGAGGAGGAGGTGGAGGAGGAGGAGGATGACGATGACGATGAGGACGAGGACGAGGAAGAGGAGGAGGAGGAGGAGGAGGAGGAGGAGGAGGAGGAGAGCGCCATCGACAGGGAAGGTGGGGGCCACGAGGTCCGCCGGCTCGACGACGCCCGCGTCGCCCGCGCCCGCCCCCTCACTCTTATCCGCAATTGCGGGGTGCTACGTATTTCCCCTCCGTCGCCCCTGCTTCATGCATGACAGATCAAGCATGCATTTCTGCAAGTCGGGAGTCATTTGCACGCGTTTTCGCCCCAGCGTCGCTTGAAATTGAGGATCGGGGTGGACGATAATGCCACGCAAGGAATGTGCCAGATTCTGAGTTAAAACAAGTCGTTTTGGGATGAAGCCGATGGAGGGCGTCTCTTCTCAGGCGAGGGGCATCTCATTGTAACCAGAAAGCAAAATGTTCTGTCGCATTTCTCGAGCTTTGATGCGACTCCTGGCAGGTTCAGTTCAGCATCGGCGCTGTCATATCCGTGATCGAAAATCGGCCCGATCGGGTTCCCTGGGCCCAGTGCCACTTCGGGGCTCAAGGGATTGGAGTCGATGAAAACGGGGGTCGGTCAGAGCGCCAGATCTTGCAGTATCTTGCAGAGCCAGGGTCGCACTGACCCAGGTTTGGGTGCATGATCCTGCAGGATCCTGCAGGGTCTTGCAGGATCCTGCAAGGCCTGACTGACCTGGGTGTGCACTGACCCGGGTCAGTCGATCACCGACCAATTTGGCCTAATCCGGTTCAGTAGCCCCTCAGTCGGGTTGAAGATTTCAATCGTTTTGATCAGGATCGGCGCAGGGGGTGCTAAAGGGATACGGGGGAGTAGCATTGGATGCCCAGGTTGGTATATCTAGCTTGACCTAGCTATGGGCTGGAAGTGCCCTACGTAAGTTGCTTCGGGGGTGTCAGATAGTTCCGCTGAGCTGGCGGAGCCCTCCAACACGAATGGCTGAGTGAGCTACCCTCGCGGTGATCCTTGAGCCAGACCTCCCAGTACAGCGAGCGGCTCGAATAAGGAACGCTTACTTTTCAAAAGGGGTTCCGTCGTTCCTCAGGCCCGCATGCTTTATCAATCGCTTCTCACGCGTGATGTATTGTTGATCGCTCCTTGTGCGTTACCTCTTGGAGAGAAAAGGGGGCTGCTGTCCTGATTTATCGCTCCTCAGGTCAGGCCGATGACTGCAGTTGCCTCCTGAGGGCCCCTCGCCGCCGACCTCCCGCCGCCCCCGCCCCACGCGGCCGCCACGGCCAGGCGGTGGCCCCGGCGCCTGCGCGCGGGCACCCAGGACGCCGCCCCTGCCTCCAGGCGCTCGGCCTCGCTCGGCCTCGCGTGCGCTCCGCTCGGCGAGGCCAGCGCCAGCACGTCGGAAGTCGGGGGAGAAAAAGATACGGATACGTGTTGTCCACCTTCGTTTTCGGCCTTTCCTGGTCCTCCTGGGGAATCCTCGTTGTCACCGCTGTATTCGCCTCGAAATTCTGGTCAGAACGCACCCCAAGAGAGGTCCAGGGACAACACGTATCCGTATCTTTCCGCCCCCCAAGGAAGAATTTGTCGGATGGGGCCGGAGCAGACGGGGTCAGCTCACCTCGGGGCTCAGGCGACGGGGGTCAGTGCCAACGGGGGTCAGCCAGGGCACCGGATCCTGCAGGATCCTGCGAAGACCCCTTCTGGCTGACCCGGGTTCGCGAGCCGCTCGTGGCCGCGAGGCGGCCGCGCACAGTGGCTGACCCAGGTTTGCGAAGACCTGCGTTGCAGCTTTTTTGTTTCTGCATTGCAGTTGTTCGGTTTCCTGCTGACCTGGATCTGGATTGACCCGGGCCAGCAGGTCCCCGATTCCCGCCCCACGCGCAGTCCTGCACTCCCCTGTGCGGGTCGTGTGTGGCGGTTCCCCCCCCCTCTTCCACCCCTAGTTCGGTGCCAGCGCCTGAGCTGGGCACGGCGACGCCGAGGCGCTTGACCGCTCGCCCTGCGCGCGCGTCGCAAACAAAAAACGGAGGATCGCACCGCATCGCCGATGCATCGATGATGCAGCTCGATGTGGGGCCAGTGTTTCCCCGCGCCGACGTCGCCGATGCATCGCGGACGTCGGCGGTGCATCGAGGATGCATTTCCGATGCATGGGCGATGCGGCGGGATCCCCCGACCCCATCTACCCGGACCCCATTTCGGAGGCCTCTAATATTGGAGCATATTGGATGATCTTGCGAAAGAAAAGCCTTCATGAAACCAAGCAATGCCCGGGGAATGGACGTCCGAGCGATGGCGCAAGGCCCTGAGGATCAGACCCTGGCACACACTTCGAGCTTCCGGGCGGACCGGAGCGGGCCGAAGTGGTGCACGAAAGGTGCACGTTTCCTCACCCCACGTTGATTGCCCTCTCGTCAGCGAACAGTTGAAACAATGACAGATTTCCGACGCGCTGAACAAACCAAGGTTCCGCGATCTAGGGACCTTCGTCGGTTTCCGCGCTAGCAAACCATCCAGGATGAAGAACAAGGACATGGGAAATTCTTTACGCTTCGCGTATCCCCACCAGCCCATCTCACAACAGCAACTCTTGCGAAGCATGCCGACAGTCGTGTTTTTCAGGCGTGTTTCCGCCTGCCCCCGCATATCTCCGGGCCTCTCGTCCTGGTGTGCGTCGTTCGGGCCCTTCTTCCTGGTGTGAGTCGTTCGGGCTCTTCGTCGTGGTTTGAGTCGTTCGGGCTCTTCGTCCTGGCGTGAGTCGTTCGGGCTTCTCGTGGTGTGAGTTGTTCGGGCCCTTCGTCCTGGTGTGAGTCGTTCGGGCTCCTCCTCCTGGTGTGAGTCGTTCGGGTTCCTCGTGGTGTGAGTCGTTCGGGCCCCTCGTCCTGGTGTGAGTCGTTCGGGCTCCTCGTGGGGCCTCTTGGGGGCCTCTTGGAGCCTCTTGGGGCCTCTTGGGGGCCTCTTGGGGGCCTCTTGGGGGCCTCTTGGGGGCCTCGTGGGGCCTCTGGGGGCCTCTTGGGGGCCTTTTGGGGGCCTCTTGGGGGCCTCTTGGGGCCTCTTGGGGGCCTCTTGGGGGCCTCTTGGAGGCCTCTTGGGAGGCTCCTGGGAGCCTCTTGGGGCTATCTTGGGGCCTCTTGCGACCTCCTCAGAAGCGCAAATAAGCGCTGCCCCCTGAGAACGACAAAATGAACCCAAAACCTTCGTAAAATCAATGATTTTGCTATGAAGGAAGATGAGCGCGGCCCCCTCAGGAGGCCAAAATGGGGCCAAAACCGTAGTAAAATCAATGATTTTGGCTTCAAAGGAGAGGAGAGGGACTTATCTCCGTCCCCCCGTCGGGGCCAGAATCCTCGTGAGGGTCGTCGTTTTTTAGCCCTCCCAGGAGTCGAAATTGACCCCCCTGACGACCCGCGGGGCGCCCTCTCCAGGCCCAGGGGGAGGGGGTAGGGGGAGGGGTAAACCCCTCCCCGAAGGGGAAGAGGGAGGGTTGAGAACAGAGAGAGCTCTCTAAACCACTCACGCCCAAAGGGCTGGTGGGATTGTCGAGAGATTCGTGGACCCCGCATTGGAGAGTTCAGACACAGGAGGTGTGGGGCCATTTGACGTGATCGTTGGCCTTCGGAGATGATTGGGCCCCGGGAATGGTCTCCATCGGTTGCGCCTTCCCGAGGGGTGCCCAGGTGTGCCCCAATGGTCCCGGTGGGCCGCCCGAGGCCCGAGTTGCACTCCGAAGGCCGACCAGCTCAGACCCCCTCGCATCTTAAACGGAAATCACGACGGCGGTTGTTTTGTCCACCGCTTTCGGCTCCCACTTGGATCGTCGCGGGGGTTGCCGAGGAGACAGGGTCTATCAGTGGATGCCAGTGTGGGTTACATTTACTTAGCTTATACGGTGGTTACTAGTGACCCAAGTGGCCCAGAAGAGGGGCAGATAACTCCGCTAAGTGGGCGAAGCCCGTTCAGCCTGGATCGCCAACCCCCAATCAGCCGCTTATGGAACCTTCAGTCCGCTTGTATTCCAAATCAGGTCGGACGCAGCCCGCTTCGGCCTCGGCTGATAACGTTTCATCTCCTTCCCAGCCCCCGCGCCGATTCAACGAGGGACTCTTTCTAGACCCCGGGACACCCAGGCGACGATCCTGAATGAAAAAGCCGTCTTCGGTAAGGGGTCCAGGCTTCCAGGGACGCCGCGGTGCCTCCAACGGGCCCGCTGTTGCTCGGCAGTGCAGAGGACACGGTTGGTTCGTGTTGTGTCGACGGTGCGGTGGCCCCAGCGACAGAATCGTGGCCGGGAATCGTCCGATAATGAACGATTTTGCGCGATCGGAGGGCCTCGCTCGTTCAAGGATCTGAGCGATCCACGCGGTGTTAGCCCGCCAGGCGTCACGACACGAACCCGTCGTCTTTTCGCGTGATGGAAATGCTGCGGGATGGTTCGGCGGTTTCTCCAGAGGGGGAGTGATAGGAGGGCAAGCTTGATCAGAAGGCGACGGGACTTCTCAGCCGTCGTCGTGCCTTCTGTGAAGCCGCTTGCGTCTCTTGGAGAAGGTTTAGATACTTCGTCTGAAGGCTAGAAGCTTTCTGAGCCTTCTGAGAAGCCCCGCCCCCTGTGCCATCCCCCTCTTGGGCTCGCCGAGACATGTTTGGTCCGAAGAAGTGCAACAACAAGAAACCGCACCGATGCTGGCGTGGGCCGTCACTTCTGTGGTATGTGGACGCTGTAAGCGGTCACGCCCCTTCAGCGTAAACCTGCGCAGTAGAGCGTCAGAGGCTGAACACCTGGGTTCGGGGATCGAGGCTCGAGGCCTTCGGACGGCTTCGGGCCTCAGGGACTCGAAGAAGAGAATCATAATAGACAGGAACTTCCGGAGTTGCACGCGGATTTTTCGGACCGGCGCTTGCCCCCCCCCCCCCCCCTCTCTACCTGGCGGCAGCTCCAGCGCCCCCCTTGGCACGCTCCGTGCGCCAGGGAGGGAGGGAGGGCCCAGCGCCTGTCCAGGAAGTACGCGCGGACCTCGCAAGGCTTCTGTTCAAGGAGTGGCTTGTTTCCTCATGCGGGCGTCCAGGGACGTCATGTGTCAGGAGGGAAAGAACACACAGACAAAATGAATCGTCGACTCCCAGGAAAATATGGAAACATGTGGGAAGTGGGGGGAAGACGACAGCCAAGAAAATATAGGAACATATGGGGAATCCTGTTATTCGTGTCTATTTATTTGTGTGTGTGTGTGTGTGTGTGTGTCCCTGGGCCCCTTCAATGTTTACCTCGACAGTTTGGCCAGGACACATCCCTGGACAGGGCCAGGGGGCCCGACGCGCAGAGGTCGAATAGCGAGGTGTCTGCGCATGGCTGGAAGAGACTCGGATTTGGCGCGACCAGGCTCCCTCGGCGCATCCTAGGTTCGCGCCAGCAACAGTGCTTCACCACCCATCTGGCAGCCACGCAATATAGTTGTGCACGCTTCGCGTATCCCCACCAGCTCGTTCAGCAACCCTGCCCGTGAGAGCAGTCGGGAAAATGGACGTAGAGACCGATCTGGAAGACAGTGACAACCAAGGTGAATATAGAGAGATCTCGTGCAGCAATGGGGGTGGTTTTGAAAGGCTTCTTCGGGCCATCCGTGGGGCTCGAGGGGGGGGGGCGCGGGAAGCAAAAGGAGGCACACCGCCCCTTGGGGCGCTCTCGGGGCCGTCTTCGGCCACTCTTGGGGCCCTCGTTGGGGCCCTCTCACGCGCCCTGGAGTGCTTCTTGAGGCCATCTTGGAGGCTATCGATCAAAGGGAGGTTCTTCCTAACTGTCCATTCCCTCTCCCAGGGCCATCAAAATCGCCTCTTGGGGCGCTCGTCGGGCGGATCTCTCCGCCTCCGCTGCCCTGTACTATGTGGCTGCCGCCTTGGATTACAACAGCTGGCTGTTCCAGCAGGCCTTGTCCCGTGCCGCGCCTGGAGCTACACCATCTGCGGGCCACGCTGATAGGCGACGCTGCCGCAAGCCCGCCCGTCCCAAACGCTGGCTTCAGTGGGCGGCGCGGAGCAGCTGTCTTGGCCCTGCAGCGCGTCGTCCGTGGTTTCCTTTGTCGACGGCGGCTCCAGTGCTCAGCCTTGGAGTGCCCACCGCCGCGGCCCTCCGACGTTTCCTTCGCGCCGCAGGTGCCGCTGCTGGACTGCGCAGGGAAGCGAGCGGCAGCCGCACTGACGATCCAGGCTGGCGTCCGCCGCTTCCTGCAGCGGAGCGCGCTGGCGAAGCGGGCGCGGCGCAGCAGCGACGCAGCGGAGGGGCAGGCTGCCGCGGCCCGATATTGTGCCGCGGTGCTTTGCCGATACGGGCACAACTGTCCGTGGCACCGCGTTGGACGAAGCCGATGCATGCACGGCGATCCCCCGCCCATTCTAGGGCGAGGCAACGACAGTCGACCAGTGTGCAGAGATTCCTTCACTATTGCCCCTGGGAGCCAAGATGTGAGGTTGAGGTCTCTCATATCGCCGTTTGCAGGGGAATGTAATTGCCACGAGGTGGTCGTTCAGGATCCGTATCTTTGCGCGCTGCTGCGCCCCGCTCGTCCAGCCGCGGCCTTCGAGAGGCGCAGCCCGGACGAAACACTCGATCTCTCGCAGAGCACAGCGCTCTTTCTGCTCGATGAGTTGGTGCAGTTCCTTGTCGGGGAGGCACCGCGTTTCGCGCATCTCTCAGCGATCACCCGCGCTCGCCCGAGACATGGCGTCGACGCGACCGAGCCCCTCCAGGCATGGTTCAGGGGGCCCGCTGACCGTTGGGCCGCCTCTGGGGCGCGCGTCTCCTTGCACGTGGACCCCGTCATCCACGCGCGACGGGTTCGCCTGATCGGGATTCTCTCCCATATCGACGTCTGCATCGAGTGGGGACTGAACTTCTTCATGGACGCTGCTGGGGATCGCGTTGCCCGTCGCACTGAGGCGATGGCGCTGGGGTCTGGGGAGGGGGGCCTGGGCCGCGTCGAGGAAGGCTTCGATGCAGTGGCCGCTTCTCTACGAGCCGACATTGATATGCTCAACGTGCGGATTCGGCATGCATGCGGGGATCACTGACGGCGCGCTGGCCGCCAGCGGGGGCCGGGGGGCCATCCGCGAGCTCCGCGCGGTGGTCGATTGGCGCCGCCGAACCTCTGAGAGCACGGCAGCAGGGCGCGGCGCGGCACTGGCGGCAGACCGCGCTGTCGAGGTGCCAGAGGGTTCGGCTGCGGCGCGGAGGCGACGGAGAGGCTCTCACAGACAATGCCGCGCGTCGCGGCCCCTTGCCACGGCTGCGCGAGAGCTGCAGCCGCTTGAGCGAGAAGGGCGGGCAGCGGGCGATCGCGGGGTCGGCAGCGGCTGCGCGGTGGGGAGCGCTGGGAGAAGCAGCAACGGTGGCGGCGGTTGCGCAGGGGGGCCTGGGGGAGGAATGGGAGGGGGCGACAGTGGCAGCGGCGCGGAAGCTAGGCGGGGCGACGGCAGCGCAGTAGGAGGAGGAGGAAGAGGAGACGTTATCAGCGGCAGCACGACCTGGCTTGGAGCAGGGGGGGAAGGAAGAGTGGGGAGGGACGGCAGTGGCGGCTCGACGTCAAGAGCGATTTGGGCAGCTGGAGGGGGCGGCAGTGGCAGAGAAAGAGGAGTGGGGAGGGACGGAAGTGGCGGCGCGACTGCACTGGCAGCGAGCCCTGGTGCCCTGCAGAGGGATGCGACTGGCGATTCGGCCTGCTCGCGCTGCCGCGCGAAGCAGGCGGCGTGGCAGTGCGCGCGCTGAGGGGCACAATAATGCAGCCCTGGTTGCCAGAGCCTTCGGCGCTTCCACTCCATTGCTGCACTCTGCCCGCGGGGCGCATCAGCTACTGAGCTGGTGCGAGATGGTCGGGCAGAGGCTGCTGGTCCCATCGCTGCTCAGCGCGATGCCGGCGGCGACGCTGGAGCCCGGCCTGAGGGGCGGGAGGGGCCGGCAGTGGCTGCTGGCCCCATCGCTGCTCAGCGAGGTGGCGGCTGCGACGCTGGGGCACAACCTCCTGCGCGAGAGCGGCGGGCAGTGGCAGCCGGCCCAGACTCTGCTCAGAGGGGCGCAGGTGGCGACCAGCGCGTGCGAGAAGAGGACGCCGCGGCTACGGCAACAAGCCCTGGCGTTGCTCGGCGGCGCGTTCGGCGCGTAGCTGGAGCCTGGGGCCCTCTATTGTCAGCCACACCCTTCGCCGCTGCGCGTGCGAGGGGGGCGCGCGGTTGCAGGCGCGGGTGGCGGTGGGGGCGCGGTAGAAGGAGGTGGGGGTGTGGGGGGGGGGGGGGGGCGGCAGGGGGAGGCAGCAGCGTCAGCGGCGGAGGCAGTGACGAGGGGGCGGGGGGCGGCGCTGGCAGCGAGGCTGGCAGCCACGCGGCGCGGCCGCGGCAGCCAGCAGCCAGCAGTGGCGTTGCTGAGCGAGATGGTGGTCGTGAAGCTGGAGCCCAACATCATCGCCTTCGGCGCTGTGAACAGCGCGTGCGAGAAGAGCGGCCGTTGGCAGCGGCGGCGGGCCGTGGCGCTGGCGCCGCTGAGCGAGATGGTGCCTTTGAAGCTGGGGCCCGTTATCATCGCCCACGGCATTGTGAACAGCGCGTGCGAGAAGAGCAGGCGTTGGCCGCGGCAGCGCGTTGCGGCGCTGATGGGCGAGATCCTGCTCGCGAAGCTGGGGCCCAACATCATCGCCCACGTCGCTGTGGGAACGGCGCGCGAGAAGAGCAGGCGCTGGCAGTGGCAGCAAACAGCGGCGCTGCTGAGCGAGATGGCGGTCGCGAAGTTGGAGCCCCACATCATCGCTCACGGCATCCTGAACAGGTCGCGCGAGAAGAGCATGCTTTGGGAGCGGCGGCAGTTTGTGGCGCTGCTGATCGAGGTCGCGGTCGTGAAGCTGGAGCCCAACATCATCACCTACGGCGCTGTGAAGAGCGCGTGCGTCAGGAGCAGGCATTGGCAGTGGCAGCCAGATGTGGCGCTGCTCGGCGAGATCCTGGTCGCGAAGCTGGAGCCCAGCATCATCGCCCGCGACATCCTGCGCAGGTCGTGCGAGAAGAGCGGCCGCTGGCAGCGGCTGCAGGCCGTGGCGCTGTTGAGCGAGATGGCAGTCGTGAAGCTGGGGCCCAGCATCATCACCTACGGCGCTGCGAACAGCGCGCGCGAGAAGTGCAGGCGTTGGAATGTGGCGCTGGTGAGCGAGACCGCGGCCGCGAAGCTGACGCCCCTGATTCTCACTTACGGCATTGCGAAAAACGCGCGCGGGAAGAGCAGGCGGCGGCCGTCGCCGCCAGCAGTGCCGCTGCTGAGCGAGATCCTGGTCGTGAAGCTGGAGCCCAACATCATCACCTACGGCATGCTGAAGAGGTCGTGCGAGAAGAGCGGCCGCTGGCAGTGACAGCCGGTCGCGGCGATGCTGAACGAGGTCCTGGTCGTGAAGCTGGATCCCAACATCATCGTTTACGGCGCTGTGATCAGCGCGTGCGAGAAGAGCAGGCGTTGGCAGCGGTAGCCGGTTGTGGCGCTGCGGAGCGAGATCTCGGTCGCGAAGCTGGCGCCCGACATCCCCCATGGCGCCCCGAACAGCGCGCGCGAGAAGGGCACGCATTGGATGTGGCTGTGGGCAGTGGCGCTGCTAAGCGAGATAGTGCGCGTGAAGCCGGAGCCCGCCAACATCGCTTAGGGCGCTGTGAACAGGACGTGCGAGCACAGCAGGTTTTGGTTATCGCAGTGGGCTGCGGCGTTGCTGAGCGAGATCTTGTTCGCGAAGCTGGAGCCCGTTATCATCGCCTACGACACTGTGAACAGCGCGTGAGTCAGGGGCCGGCGTTGGCAGCGGCAGCAGGCCGCGGCGCTGCTGAGCGAGATCGTGGTCGTGAAGCTGGAGCCCAACATCATCACCTACGGAATGCTGAACAGCGCGTGCGAGAGGAGCAGGCGTTGGCAGCGGCGGCAGGTTGTGGCGCTGCTGAGCGAGATGGCAGTCGTGAGTCTGGAGCCCAACATCAGCCGCTACAGCACTGTGATCAGCGCCTGCGAGAAGGGGCAGTGGCAGCCAGCGCTGGCTTGGCTCAGCGAGACCTTGGGAGTGAAGCTGGAGCCCACCATCATCACCTACGGCACTGTGAACAGCGCCCGCGAGAAGAGGAGGCCTCGGCAGTGGCAGCAGGCTGTGACGCTGCTGAGCGAGATGCTCGTGTAGAAGCTGGAGCCCGCCATGATCACCTACCGGACCTTGAAGAACAGCGCGTGCGGGAAGAGCCGGCGTTCGCAGTGGCATCAGGCGTCGAAGGCAGTGGCGGCGCGTGTGAAGGAGGTGGGAGGGAGCGCAGTGGACGCGGTAGTGGCACGGTGGAAGGAGGCGGAAACTACGACGACGGCAGCGGCAGCACGATGCAAGGAGGGTTTCTGCACATCACATACAGTTCGTGCGATCAGGAGGAGGGGGGGGGAGGAGGACGGCAGTGGCGGCGGTAACGGTGGCGTTGGAGTGGGAGCGGCAGTGGCAGCTAGCCTTGGCGCTGCGGCGGACGGAGGAGTAGACCAAGCGGTCCCCTCTGACGACGATGACCTGTAGGGGAAAAGAAAAAAACACAGTTTTCCTGGCTGGCTCTTCCTCTCCTTCTCGGAGAAGGGATTGCCCCGGATCTTTTCTCTCAGGAGTGAATGTGCGACTTCGGTGGCGCCACTCGTACTGGTTCTTGGTCAATGACGCATTCCTGGCCACCGGTGTTCGCAATATCTCGTGGAGCGCATTGCAAGCGAGCTGCCCCCTTCAGGGGCTGGGTGCATGGATGTCTCGCGTGGTTTATCCTACGTCTTGTCCTCGCCCTCAGCGGCCACTTGTCAGCTTCGCTGTCTGTGACCCTGCCGCTCCATTTTGGCTGCGTACAGCTCCTTGGTGCAATTCGTGCATCGGCACGGCCCCCAGATCCTGGTCCTGGTTGCAGTTTGCATCGCCCGCCGGCAGGCTTCGGGTTCAGTCCCGTTTCCTGGCACCACCTGGCGCCGCCCGGCAGTTGAGGCAGCTTAGGCAGCTTAGGTTCGGCCGTCGGTCCCCGTGCGCTTGGCGATTCGGCTCGCGCGTAGCCCGCTGGACCTCTGACGCTGCTGGCGCGCTCGCCTGCGGCCGCGACGAAAAAATCCCCACCAACCCATCCAGAGTCGATCAGGGGAGTTGGTAAACCAGGGACGGCTGGAAGCAAACAGTTGCGCGGCCGCTTTCAGAAAAATCACACATGGCCACCCGCATTGAAATTTATGATTGGAATCCGTACAAGATACGACGTGGTGCTCCCCGTGGTAAACGTATCCAGCGCGGATGGCTGTATCCACCCTGGGCCGTGAGAGATATGGATGACACATGGCTTCCCGCAGCGAACTTCTTCAGGTGGAAACCAGTGCAAGATACGCCGTGTTGTTCCTTGTGGTAAGTGTCTCTGGCGCAGGTGACTGTACCTACCATTCGTCGCCCTTGTCGCACAGTTGAGAATCGAACCGCATCCCCATATTCATCCTTGCTTTCTGCCCCCGCACTGAAGTGTGCGGCGGCTGGTGATGGTGGTGGTGGTGGCGGTGGTGGTGATGCTGTTGGCGTTGCTGCTTGTGGTGGCGGTGGTGGTGATGGTGCGGTGGTGGTGGCGGTGGTGGAGCAAGTGGTGCTGCCAGCGCTGGTGATGCCTGGGGCCAGGTTGGGAGTAAGAGGAAAAGTGGGAGGAGGAGGACGGGGAGGAGGAGGAGGACAAGCAGAAAAGGAGGACGGGTCGGAGGAGGAGGAGGAGCAGGAGGAACGCGGCGCGACGAGGATGAACTGAGTCCCGATCCCTTCACATTTGAGTCCGTCGTAGAATCGGATTGTCTATCCTATAGGGGCCCGAGAGGTTCTTGCGAGAGGTTCGTGGGGGACTCGTGGGGCCATCATACGAGCTCGCTCGGGCTCTCCGTGTGGGGTCTCTTGAGGGTCTCTTGGGGCTCTCTTGAGGTCCTGTTGGAGCTTTTGGGGGGAGTTTTGGGGCCCTCTTGGGGTTCTTTTGGGGGGTCTGGGAGGCCTCTTGGGGCCGTCTTGGACCCCTTCGCTCACCAAGAGGGGGTATTAAATTTAGGACCCCCCTCGGAGGCCCAAAAGTGGCGCCTGGGGGCCCTCTTGGACCGCTCTTGGACCGCTTCTTGGGCGCTCTTGGGGCCGTCTTGGGGCTCTCTTGGGCCTCTATTGGGGTTATGTTGGGCTATGTTGGGGCCATCTTGACGCATTAAGAGCCCAAGAGCCCATCGGAAGCGAAAAAGCGAAAAGGCAAAACTTAATGCCGTGGGTTTTGAACCCATTCTGGCCGGGTTTTGGAGGGCTCGGAGGGCACTTGAAACCGTCGTGGGGCCATCTTGAGGTCTCTTGGATGCGTGTTGGAGGCTATCTTGAGCCTTCTTGAGGTATCCTGGGCGATCTTGGAGGCCATCTTTGGCAAGCTAAAGCCCTCTTGAAGCTATCTTGGGCCATCTTGGACGCTCTGACCCCTCGCGGGGGAGCCCGTCCAGACCCAAGGGGGGGAGGTAAACCTCCCGAGTAGGGAATGGAAGGAGGCTGGAAAAGGAAACGCTCTAGACCACCTGCGACCAGAGGGCTGGTGGGATTAGGTACCTAATAGGATACACGGCGGTCCTACTGGAATGCCGTAGCAGTCGTCTCTAACGGAATCCTTATTCTTCTCTATCGGGTTCCGATTGGGATCTTCGTGGCCAACCCATCGGATCGTTTTCCGTTGGATCTGTATTTGCATCCTATTTTGAGCAAATCGGAATCCCCAGCCTCTTTGTCCTGGGAGCCCCACTGGGTCATTCTATTGGCTCCCCTTGGGGTGCAGTGCGATTCGTTCCTCTTGGGCTCCTGTGGCGCAGGTTCCTTCTTAAGAACCCGATTGTAAACCAGCAGTGGGCTCCCTGAGATCGGAGGTTGATAGACCTCCTACCCTGACACGTCTATTAGTGAATCGGCCGTTCTCGGTTCGCGAGGGGGCGTCGCGGCCGTTCTTTTTGCGGGCCCAGGTCCGTCGGCTTTGGTCCCAGGCCGTTTTCACTAAGGGGAGGTGTACTAGAGGGGATTATTGTCCACCGCCGACAGTTGAGGGATGAAAAACGACCCTACCCTGGGTTACCAGCGCGTGGTCTCGAAACCTCCTGGGAACCCCCAAAGCCTAGAGCCGCCAGGACGCGGCACATCACGCAGGGTTTACCCTGTCAGCCCACAGGAGTTTCAGCGCACCGCGCCTCGTAAACCAGGGCAGGGGCGTTTTTTTTAATGCCCTTCAGATACAGTCGGGGCCCTGAAGAAGGAACCCTTTTCGTTGGGGAGCGGCTCCGCGTTCCTCAAGTGTTTCGCAGCTTGCCTCAGGTGTTCCTCATGTCTTCGATCGGAAATCGAAGTCTAGCTCATGGAAAAAAATGGGGGCCTCGCTCCTCATTTAGGGCTCCTTAGGTCAACGCCCCGACTGTAGTTCCAGGCTCGATTTGGGCTCGATCCGGCGTGAGGCCCCCCTCGTCGGGCTTGAGGGCCCCCAGTGCGTTCTCTGGACGGTCCTGGGGCCCGGCGCGGGCCTCGCAGAAGCCGGAAACGGCGGAGCGCCTCCGCCCTGTCCTTGCCCAGCCTCCGACTGTAAGAGCAGCCCCCTCGCGCAGGAGCCACGCCCCGCCCGGCGGGGGCGCCAGCGCCGCCGTGGGCGGCGGCCGCGCTCCTCCCCGCCGGCGGGGGGGCCGCAGGCTCGGGGCTCGGACGCCGGTGGCCGCGGCCGCGGCGGGCGTCGGCCACGCGCGGAGGGCCGAGCAGAAGTCGAGCGACGCCACCCCCGCGCCTGCGGCCCTCCATGTTTCGGGCCCTCCTCCTCCTCCTCCTCCCCCTCCTCCTCCTCCTCGGCCCTCCTCCTCCTCCCTCCCTCCCTCCCTCCCTCCCTCCCTCCCTCCCTCCCTCCTCCTCCTCTCTCCTCCTCCTCCTCCTCCCTCCTCCTCCTCCTCCTCCTCCTCTCCTCCTCCTCCTCCTCCTCCTCCTCCTCCTCCTCCTCCTCCTCCTCCTCCTCCTCCTCCTCTCCTCCCCTCCCCCTCCTCCTCCTCCTCCTCCTCCTCCTCCTCCCTCCTCCTCCTCCTCCTCCTCCTCCTCCTCCCCCTCCTCCTCCTCCTCCTCCTCCTACTCCTCTTCCTCCTCCTCCTACTCCTCCTCCTCCTCCTCCTCCCTCCCTCCTCCTCCTCGGGCCGAGCGAAAGGGGGCGATAGGGAAAGGGGGGGGGGTTCAAAGTCTGGTGCGTGCCGCTGGTTTCGGCCCCGCCGCCGGGGCCAGTCCTTGATGCATGGCCGCCTCCCGGCGCCGGGAGGCGCCGAGGAAAGCAGATAAGTGGGCTGATTCGCACCCCCCCCCGTTGCTATTCCCCCCCTTTCGCCCGGCCCGAACGTTGCGCTACGGCCCATCGGTCCCCGCGGAGTCAGCCCGCACAGTGAGGGCAGGCAGCCTTCCAAGGTTCCCCTGGCATCCTTCCCGTTCGGCCCATCCTTGGCCTCTCATGGCGTATGCGAAGGCCCGTGGGGCCCCGCCGCGGGTGGGGCGGTGCCGTTTGTTTTCTGGTCCACAGGGGGTTGGATCGGATCGACTCGGCAGGAGGCTGGCGGAGGCTAAGTCCATACGGGGTATTCGGACTCCGTTTGGACTTACTCCGTCTGGACTTTAGCCTGTCCTGAAGAAGCGTCAGGCCCCGCAACGCCGTCAGGGGTCCCTCCATCGTCGGACTGCAAGGGTGGAACCTGCAGCTCAACGCCAGTATCAGCAGTACATCTATCCCGCCCTGCTTGGTCGACACACACACACACCACCCAGGCCCACTTCATCCACCTTGAGGGGGGTAGGGCTGGGGGGAGGGCTTCTCAGAATCCCCCCTGCTTCTCAGAAGGCGCCCGGCCCTACCCGAGCATTTTCTTTGTGTGGAGGGCAAAGGGTGAAATCTGAAATGCCGTTTCGATTGGTTTTGGAGGCTTGACCTGCAAAAGGTGGATCACAAGACAGATTGATATTCGTTGTGCAAAAGTCCATCTGGAGTTCACCCTGAGCCCTCCACCCTAAGAAAATGCTCAGCCTACGGCCGGCGCCTTCCAAGATGCAGTTTCCTTCGAAGAAGCCACCACCCCCCTCCAACGCCTCATGCGCGCCGCCAAGGGGTTCGCGTTGCGTCGCCGCGGCGGCGACGCAGCGATCAGTTTGGTCCGATCGGTCCGACGCGATCCGATCAATCCGATCGATGCGGATTCGAGCTGCGCGGCAGGTCACTTTCGATTCGTTCGATCCGATTCGGGTTGCGCGGCGGCCGCGGGGCCGCAGGCTCGGGCTCCGCGCCCGTCGGCTCCGATCAACGCGGCTGTCAGGGGCAACGATAGGGGGGATAGACTTGGAGGTTTCGAGGTTCGAGTTTTTTGTCTGCATTTTCGTTGCCTCTCGGCGGCGTTTCAGCGTCTGGATGCGTTTCAGCAGCTGCACTTCGTCCGTAGGCTTCTGGGGGTCTCCAGAACGCCCCGAACGGCCAACAGAGAGCCGAATTATGACCGGAAACCCAGTGGCAGCGTCGACGGGGGGATTTGCTCAGGAGAGGATGCATCGGCCCCCACTCGCCCATGCATTGTCGATAGGGGCCCGATAGCCCACCTCCGTCCAGGAACGTGCGGGTCCACTATCGGGGTCCCATCGCCGATCTATCGGCGATGTATCGCTGATTCCAGGTCGCTGTCTCCCCCCTTTGCCAGTCCTCCCCTATCGTGGGCCCTCGGGCTGCGGCGGGTGCGTGTCGTGGCGCCGCGGCGACGACGCAACCAGGGTCTCAGAGGAGGAAAGGTACTGATGCCGCTACTCTCGGCTCGTTATCGCCTTTCAGGGCCTCCGGGGAGGCCCTCGTCGTCACGGCTGGACTCGCCTCGAAATTCTGGTCAGACACCCAGTTGATGTCCAGAGTAGTGGTATTGGTGTTTGGTGGCGCCATCCAGTTCCGTTTCGATCCGATCGATTCGATTCGATAATTGCTCCAGCGGTATTCGATTCCGATGTTACGACCATCCGATACGGCCCGATGATCGCATTGCGCTGTTGTTTTTCCTGGCGCAGCCGATTCGATTCGATTTCGATCCCACGCCAATGCAGCCCAATCCGACTCACCTTCCGATCCGATCGTCTTTCACGATTCGATGCTGGTGATCGTGCCCAGTGAGTCGTTACAAAATCACGGTGTGCAGTTTTGGAGTATTTTCGGCCACTGGCGGACTTCGCCGGGCCAGGGATGCAAAGTCGGTCCCGGAGGAAGGGGTCCCAGATGCGCGGCCACAGATGCGCAAGTTCCCAGAGGCCCCGATTCAGGCCCAGATTCGCGAGGAACCAGGGGCCCCGATTCAGGGGCAATGTTAGGGGATTGGCTCCGAACGTTGCCCCGCCCTCCTCCCTTCCCAGAGGCTCCCTCCCATCCTGGGTCCTGCTTCCCCTTCCCCCATCCCACAGCCGCCTCCCCTCCCCTCCCCTCCCCCCTCCACCTCCTCTCCTCTCCTCTCCTCTCCTCTCCTCCTCCTCCTCCTCCTCCTCCTCCTCCTCCTCCTCTTCTTCTTCTTCTTCTCATCATCATGGCAGGTGATTGAAGCCACAACAGGATGTAGGCGAGAGATAGCAGGACAGGGATGGAGAGACGGCGGCAGCGGCGGCCGTCAAGACTATACAACCTGAACCCTCATAAAAGTTAACTCTGCCCTTTAAAGTCCGGCGTAGACCATTGTCAACTGATAGAGAGCAGGCTGTAGCGTGTGCAAGTGGCACAGGTTATTGCTTTAAAGTGGCGACACTGAAGGCGGCACAAGGTAGAGAGCATAAGTGTGGTTGAGAGGAGGCCTTCACCTGTGGGGCATGGTTACTGACAAAGTCGAGCATCACTAAGTAAGTGCTGCACTGGACAGGTACTGCTTTTTTCAGTGAGCGTACACTAGCAATGCTTGGGGTAGCATGGCAACACTTTCTCTGTCCAGCCCTTCACCTTAGCCCTACGAGCACACATGGCACGCTGCTTGCGCTATAAGAGTGTGAGCGCACAGCATGCAGCACACGATCAAGAAGGGGTGGGGGCAGCAGGCAAGTTCGGTCCCCTCGCTCTCCTTTCATCGCGTGCTGGGTTGTGGATCATACAGTCCATTCCATTGACTTGTATTTCTGTCGCGTAGTAGTCCAGCGGGGCGTGGTAACGTCGTAAGCTGTGTGGTATCCAGCCGTCGGCGTGGTCGAGTTGTAGTTCCCGCTGGAGTTGGATCTCGTCGGTAGAGTCCCATTGGAGCCCTTCAGAGCCCTGGAGGTCTAACCTGTCGGTGATGGTCCGACGCGTGTGATTTTTTGGGGCCCAGGGAGGTGCAGGGGCTTTGCGGATGCGTCGGCGGGGCACGGGGACCGTGGTATCCACGAAGACCCAAGGAAACCGTACCCAGGCCTCGTGAAACATGGCTTGTGCAAGCACCTCGCAAAGCCCCCGCGGATATTGTTTGGCAGCTGCTGTGCGCCAGTTGCCAAGCTCATCTTCACCTTCTAGTGCCATATGTCCCCTGGGATGGCTGCAGAGACACCCCCCCCGCCTGGCCTCAAGTGCCACTCCTAGCCCTGGAGCGTGAACAGCCATCAAAACAGTAGGTTTGCGAGAGGGGGCCCCGAAGGCACATTGGTGAATGACATGCTTGTTCACTTGGGGTTGGGCGCACAGCCGTTTGACTTCGTCCAGGTACCAGGAGCTGGGGGCTTCAGGGGGGTCCCAGGGCTCGGCAGGGTGTTCCATGATAAACGGAACTCCCAGTCGCCAACAAATGGTGCCTAGCTCAATGCACGTCCTGAGAAGCTTGTTGCCGAGGGTAACTTGTTGCCTCTCTCTGCTGTTGATATGGGGAACCCCCCAGAGCTGGTCCCGAAGCCTCAGCGGCCTCGGAGGTCGCGTAGTCACCGAGCCGTCAGCACGTGGGGCAGGGGGTCTAAATCGTGCCACTGACCATGTCTCACATGGTGGACCACAAACGATTGCTGCGATGTATCCTGCTTTGAGCAGACGGATCCACAGCCTGACTGATTCAACTTTGGTTAAGTCCCCATTGATGGGGTCATTAATGACATCTATGCTAAGTATGAAAAGCTTGGCTGGAAACCTAGAAACAAACATGTCAAAGCAGTCTTGAATGTCCCCTTGCCTCCTCACCCCTGAGAACAGGTGCAGCACAAACATATGCCTTCGCGTGGGGGTACGAGTGATTTTGAAGACAGAGGGGGGGCTCGCTATGAGAACGGCGGGTGGAAGGGATATTTCCTCAACTGGTTGCCCCGTGCCTTGCACTCCAATTGGAGCCATGATAACCTTATGCGGTGGCGCTTGAGCAAAGTGATCCTGGTGCCCAGCTCTTCTGTTGCTGGCGGACTGCTCTTTAATTAAGGTTAAATTGTTCGTTATTTCTTCAGGATCCGCTCGCCTCCCTGAGGCTATCCAGGCTCTGAGACACAACTTGGCCCGATTAAGGTGTTTATGAAGCCTTCCCGGAGTGTGGAACTGCGTGCAGCAGACAAGGCAAATGGTGCCCACTACAAAGGTTTTGGGCGCTGTGGGAGGCGGATGAAACTTGCCGACGTGGGCCTTGTAGTCTCGAGCAGCCTCGAATGATGCGGAGCAAGACTGGCAAAAGTACACAGGGGCCTGAGGCTTGACAGTGGCCATGGGGGTGTCCCTCACATGAGCTTCAATGCGCCTTCGCCAGGCGTCGAGGTGATATCGGTCGGCCCAATGGGCAATTGCTTTCAGGGCCGCGGTTTTAATAGTAGACGCAGACGCCTTGGGGGAACTCCTAACTGCAGCCAGCCAAGTGTGTAGGCTGTTGCCCGATGGCCGCATGGAGGGATCAAGATAAGAGGCAAGCCACTGAAAATCGCTGACCAACTGAGCCACCCATCCTATTGGGGGATTTGAAAGGTACTGCAAAGCAGCGCAAAGTAGTGGAGGAGCTTGGGCCACCAGTCGTGTCAGGAATCGTAACCTGTTGATGCGCACGATGACGTGATATGGTAGCCGGTCCGTGTGCTGCATGATGTCGTGGTAGGCGTCATGCTGCTCGGCGTTGTTGGCTCTCGGCTTGCCTAACGCCGCCCTGTAGATTCGCTCGTGCGCAACTCGTAGCTTAGTGGTTAGCCCCTTTGTGAGATCTAGCCACGTGCAACAGTTATAAAATAGAATGCTACTGGACAAAGCCTCGGCCCAGAGAATCTTGGATTTGAGAGGTAGCTGGGCCCTAGGAGCGATGGTTTTTCTAATGGGGGGAAGGGCTGCTCCTGATGATTGGGCCCTGGTGGTAATTTCAGTGGCCATGCTGCCATTGGCAGACAAGAAGGACCCCAGAACTCGATGATGCGCGACTATGTCAGCGCTGAACCCCCAGCGCTTAAGTTCAATCGCTGTGTATGGTATGCCGTCTTTGTCTAAGCATGCAGCTTTGGACCCGGGACCACGAAAAGCAAGCATCATCTTGGTTTTGGTGGGATTGGGCCGAAATCCAAACTCAAAACACGTGGTGACGACTGCTTCGAGTACACTGATGGCAACCTCCATGAGGTCAGCTGCACGCTTGGAAATGAAACTTTGGGTGAGATCATCGACGAAGGAGACTCCCATGTCCTGCTGGTGCATGTCGCTGGCACTCGCGAATGAGAGCTCTCCAGGTGGTGGTGGACCAAGCTCCGATTCAATGCCTCCAGGAAGCCTTACTTTATCTTCTATGGTCTGATGCACACGAGCAAAAACAACGTTGAAGACATCTGTTGCTGGAACCGATCCAGGTCTGGACCCTAGCCTGGGTGCTACAAACTGCGAAGCTCCTGATACCCTCCAGAAGTTGCCCCTTTGTGCATCCCGCAAAACAGCTAGTAAGTGGGCATTGTCCACGTTCTGATCGAAGATGGGTCTGTTATTTAATTGTGCTTTCACTCCTTCTAGCAGAACTGGGGGGATTGGCATGGTCTCTAGCGCCTCCTCAAGCTCGTTCTCAGTTCCTGGTAGTATCAGGGCTAGCTGACGGATAGTAGTGTAAAAGGCCTCCTCCTCCTCCTCCTCCTCTCCCTCCCCCTCCTCTCCTTCCTCCTCCTCCTCCTCCCCCTCCTCCTCCTCCTCCTCCTCCTTTTCCTCTCCTTCCTCCTCCGAGTCATCGCCGAAAGGACCCTGATGGCCCTCTCCGCCCAGGAGCGCGAGGATTCGCTGCGGGGCGCCCGTCGCCGATCTGTCGGGCGATGGATCGCTGCATCGCCGATTCCGAGTCGACGTTTCCCCCTCTGCCAGAAGGGGAGGAGACGTTTCTGCGTCGGCGGCCGGGCAGAGCGACTGCGCTGGCGGAAGAGCAAAAGTTGGACGAACAAAGGCGAATTGGGCCGCAATGCGCAGGGGAAAGAGGAGGAACGCCCAGCGACGGAGGGAGGGAGGGGGAAGCCGGGCCCGCTCTGAGGGGGCCGGGCGGCGGCGGGGGGGCGCCGGGGGCAGGGCAAGCGGCGGCGAGGCGACAGCTGGGGGGGTGGGGGGGGGACAGACACACAGACACAATTCACCGTCGATTCCCCAGAACATATGGGAAACTATGGGATGGGGGGGAAAATCAGCACCCAGAAGATGAAGGAAACTATGGGGGATCGCTGTATTTCTATATGTTTATTTGTGCGCCCCTGGGCGCCTGCGCCTTCACTCTGAGCCGGATCCCCTGTTCCGTTACCCCTCACCGATGAGCAACGCAAGCAAAACCACACAGGGGCCCGCTGTGCGGACGATCGTGCGCACAGCTTCCCGCCCTTTCTTCCCTCGCGGTGTGCCGCGCTTGCGGCCTCAGCGAGACGCCGCGCAAGGCCGCTGTGTCTCGGTGCCGATGCTGCTACCTTCTGCAAGTTTTCGCTTGTGTGGGCTTCGTGGGGGGCCCCTGTCGCCACGTTTGGATTCGCTTCGAAATTCTGGTCAAGCCCGTGGAGATGCCTGGGAAGTAGCGGTGTCGGTATATATTTCCAATTTGTTTTCGACATCGAGGCGGCAGTTGTTCTACGATGTCTACCTCTGGAAGCCGTCGCGGGGCCACGTGGCAACGAAGAAACGACTCGGGACGAAAAGCCGGTCCCTTTGAACGGGTCGAGACCTCCGGCGGGGACCCCGTATTGAACAAGAGCAAGGTGTCAGATCTCTGCAAACGACGAGCGCGACGACGCGCCACGTCGACGAGCATCCAGGCCGCCAAAGAAACGTGGCCGGGCGGCCAGGCTCACGGGGGTGCGGCGCGAAGGGGGGCGGCCCGCCGAAGCTGGCGGAGGCCTTCCCGGAAGCGCCTGGGGTGCGTCTCGGAGTCGGGCGGATGGTAACGGTTGTTGGCCCAAGTCGGGGGTGGAGAAAAATGGGCCCTTTTACCGTGGCCCTGTAGGGTCCCTTTAGGAACCAGCAGGAGCCCTAAAGGGCCCCCTTGGGGCTCCTTTGGGGCCCTTCTCTTCGCCCCCATGCAGGGTTTAGGGTTTAGGGTTTAGGGTTTAGGGTCCACTAGCCCAAACTTACAGCCCACTTGACCGTGTCCCACCCACCCATGACCCAAGACATATTGATTTCGATGCGGTATCAACACGCGACTCGCAAAACGACGACGAGGACGACACCGATGACGACGACGTTGATATTGTTTTCAAAACGACGACGACGCGGCCGCGCAAAGACACCTGGGACGCGGCTGCAACGGCGATGCGGCCCGCGCGCGTGACGACGCGATTTGGGGGACGACGCTCATGCAGCAGTGCATCGCTGGCGGCGTTCGCAGGGTGCTGGCGGCCGCCGAGAGGTAAGCGCGGCGCGCACTGGCACTGGTCCCGGCCAGGCGCGCGGGGGACGACGCTCATGCAGCGGTGCATCGCTGGCGGCGCTCGCAGGGTATTCACGGCGCGCCTGGCACTGGTCCCGGCCAAGCGCGCGGGGGGGCTGCGGAGCGGGCAGCCACGGGTGTGCGGGGGATCTCACGGCGCGAGGAGGCCGCCGTGCGAATCGTCACCCCCGCGGCCGAGCGGCGCCTGACCGGCCGCGGCGCCGGTGCTGCGGGCCGCGACGGGATTTGCAGATCCTCCCAGAACGCCATTCCTGGCGCTCCGAGGGCAAGGATCTGCGTGAGGGGTGCGCCAAAATGATGGGGGGCGGCCGAAGGGGGGACTTTAGGGCGGCGGAAGGGGTTTCAGGATTTAAATCTTTATAGGCTCTTAGTTTTTAGGGTTTAGGGTTTAGGGTCCACTAGCCCAAACTTGCAGCCCACTTGACCGTGCCCCACCCACCCATGATCCAAAACATATTGATTTCGATGCGGTTTCAACACGCGACTCGCAAAACCACGACGAGGACGACACCGATGACGACGACGTTGATATTGTTTTCAAAACGACGACGACGCGGCCGCGCAAAGACACCTGGGACGCGGCTGCAACGGCGATGCGGCCCGCGTGCGTGACGACGCGATTTGAAGAACCACGTTTTTTGACGCGAGTCCCTTTGCGATGCAGGGACGCCGCCCAGCGGCGGAGAGGTTGCACGCAAAATCCACGTTTATTGACGCGAGTCCCTGTGCGACGCAGGGCCCCCCGCGGTCGCCGTGGCCGCACCGCCCACCTGGCCCGCGGCCGCCTGCGCCGCCGAAGGGTCGGCGCGCCACCCCGCGTCCGCCGAGCCGCCCTCCCGCGAGCTCGCAGAGGGGGGACCGCAGCGCCCGCGGCCGTCTCGCCCGCCGCGGGGGGCGCCCGGCGCCATTCCTGGCGCTCCGAGGCCAAGGATCTGCGTGAGGGGCGCACCCTGGGATTTGCAGATCCTCCCAGAACGCCATTCCTGGCGCTCCGAGGGCAAGGATCTGCGTGAGGGGTGCGCCAAAATGGGGGGGGGCGGCCGAAGGAGGGACTTAAGGGCTTTTAGGATTTGAATCTTTATAGGCTCTTTGTTTTTAGGCCACCCCTCATTGCCACATGCCCGATGAGAAGGCTGCAAAGACGCTGCAACCCGGGGGGGCTCATCGGACGCACCCCTGTCGAGGATGGGCGCCCTCTGCCCTGTATCCCCGAGGTCTGCCCAACACTGCTGGTCCACTCGACGCAGCCCCCTCGTCGTGTACTCGAAGGGGCCGTCTCCCCATTCTCAGAAGGCTCCTCCGCCTTCTCAGCGGGCCGCCCCCCTCGCGCCACCCCCCCAAATCGCGCGCGCCGCTGCCGGGCGGGGTCGGAGCAGATGCGGCCCGGGGGCCGCGTCGCGTGGTCAACGCGTTTCGGGAAGGCGTACGACTCGAGTAAGCCGGAACTCGGGTTTGAGTTTTTTTTTTTGACGAGCACGTCCTGGATTTTGGCGGTACCGTTTTCGTGGGATATCTGCAGCGGGAGCCCGCGTCAAATTTCAGATTGGGTCTCGTCATTTTTGTGATGGCCCCCGTCAGGCCAACCCAAGTCCCCCGTACCCGAGTCTTACGTCTCCCCGAGCGTTGGCGACGCGGCTCGCTGTTGAGCCTGGCCATGTGCAGAGGAGGGGCGGGGGGGAGGGGGGGGAGGCCTTCCCAGAGGCACCCCTGCTCCTCAGAGGGTGCGGGCCTCATCTGTAGATGCACGGCAGGCGCCTCATAAGAAGCAGCCTCCTTCCGAGAAACCTCCCCCCCTCCCCCTACCCCCTTGTTCGCGCCGCCACGTTGAGGCGGCCTTTTCTACGCCTACGTCGCCGATGCATCGCCGACGTCGGCATCGCCGATGCATCGCCGACGTGGCGCGATTTTCCAACCCCACATGTTCGGACCCCATGTGGGAGGCCCCTAGAGCAAGAGCGACGAGCGTCGAGAAGGAGCAGCAGCAACGACGACGACGACGACGACGAGTGGCGACGACGACGGCTGGAAATATTCGCCCCTGAAGCCGCTCCTGAGGCGCGTTCTGCTAAGAACGTCAAGGCGGACCCAGCCTCGGCCACGAGGGCGTCCCAAGAGCAGTTGTAGCTTCCAACAGCTTCGATCCACGAGCCGACCCCCAAACTGCGGCGTGTTATTGCTGTCGTTGACGACGACGAGCATGGACGACAACCAGCAACGACGAGGAAGAGCATGGACGACCACGAGCGGCGACAACGACGACGACGACCAGCATCGACGAGGACGACCATGGACGAGGACAGGGAGCAACGACGACGAAGAGCGGTTACGACGACGACGACGACGAGCGGCGACGACGACGATGACGACGACGACGAGCTACGACTGTGAGCGACGACGGGCGGCGAGCAGCGAGCGGCGCGCGCACTCGAAGGGCCCGCCGCGCCGCCGTGGGCGCCGCAGGGCCCGCCGGCTCCCCACGCCGCGGGCCCGCCGGCGGCGCCGCTGGCGTGGCCGCTGGCGTGGCCGCAGCCTCGGAGGCGACGGCAGGGGCGGGCAGTCCAGGAGCGGGCGATCCGCTCGCCATCGGCAGGACGGCAGGGGCAATCCGATCGCCATCGGCGGTTCAGTGGTGGTGTCCTGAGGGGATGGATCCTAAGGACGGGGAGGGGCGCAAGCTGGGATTTTAAACTGCTAGAGGCACCTCGGAGGAGAAGTAGGTGGACGAGTAAGGGGAGGAGGAGGAGGACGAGGAGGAGGAGGAGGAGGAGGAGGAGAAGGGGGAGAAGGATGGGGAGGAGGAGGAGGAAGAGGAGGAGGAGGAGGAGGAGGAGGAGGAGGAGAAGGAGGAGACGACGGAGGAGGAGAGGAGGAGGAGGAGGAGGAGGAGGAGGAGGAGGAGAGGAGGAGGAGGGAGGGAGGAGGAGGAGGGAGGAGGAGGAGAGGAGGGGAGGAGGAGGGAGGAGGAATATGAGGAGGAGGAGGAGGAGGAGGAGGAGGAGGAGTCCCTAGGACCCCTTCCCTCAGGCCCCCATCTTTGAAGCAACGAGAATCGCCTGGGGGAGCCTCGCCGAAGGCGTAGACCGTCGGCGCCCCTGGATGCGCGTCTTGCTCTCCCCCCTGGGCTTGCCGCCCTCGTCGTCGCCCCCGACAGCCCTGCGCGTGGCCGCCGAGGCGCGCCGTCCGCTGCCGGCCGTCCGCTGCCGGCCGAGCCGCTGGTGTTAAGTCGGGCCTGTCCCTCTACAGGAGGAGTATGTTCAAACATAGTCAAGCAATCGTCAGGGGGAGTATATTCAGACATCGTCACATATAGTTCGGGGACGATTCTTAGTTTTTCCCCATATGAGTTTTTATTGTTGTTTTTGTTTTGTGTGTGTGCGCGCGCGTGTGTGTGTGTGGTGTGTGTGTGTGAATGTGTGTGTGGGCCTTTTTGATTTGTCCTCCAAGATCCGCCTGTAGGAGGACAGACATGCCTGGCCCAACGCTAGGGGAACGAAGAACGACATAAACATAAAACCCGGAGGTCCGCGCGGATTTCTCGGATCGGCGCTGGACCCCCCTCCTTGGCGCGCGCAGGCGCGCCAGGGGCGGTTCTGTGAGGCGCCGCCAGGGGGGCTCCAGCGCCGATCAGAGAAATCTGCGCGGACCTCCCAGTTGTTTCTGCGTAATTCCTTCTTCGTCCCCCTAGTCGCTGCCGCCACGGAGCAGGCTTGGAGGAAGAAGAGGTGTCTGTGCACCGCTGCCCACGCCTCGTGCCTGCCGTTTTGGGGCCGCCGCCGCCGCCGTCGTTGCTCGTCGTCGTCGTCGTTTCATTCGTCGTCGTCTTCGCTGCTGCCTCCGCGCAGCAGACGGGGAAGAGGTACCGCTACCGCTGCTCGTCTAGGAGATCCCCCGTCGCCACGGTTGGGCTCTCCTCGAGATGCTGGTCGGAGCGCGCCCCGGAAGAGGTCCGGGCGCGGAAGCAGCGGTGTCGTTGTCTAGTGAGTTTCCCCAGGAGCGCGCCCTCTGAGGGAGGCGGTTCCTCAGATCTGTTTGTCGCTGTGCTCGAGCTCCCGCGTCCCATCCGTACTTGTGGTGTGTTCGTCGGCCCAATGGGGGCGACGCGAGTGCTCAGAGAACTTGCAGTATTCCAAGCCTCCCGGATGGGGTCTCAGCAGATGGGGTCGGAGGATCGCGCCGTATCCTCGATACGTCGGCGATGCGGCTTGATGTGGAGCCCGATTTTCTCCACGCCGACGTCGCCGATACATCGTCGATACGGCGACGACCTTCGGCACCACCTTCTCGGACCCCAACTAGAAAGCCTCTGAGTATGTGCTCGGTGATGGGTGCTCCTGACCGACTGAGTAGCGATAGCTGGATGGTTGTGCTTTCATGCTGTATGTTCGGTTCGCACGTGCGCCTCCAAGGGGGTGGCATGGTACTGGCATGTCTTTCTGCCTCCCATCCCATGTTGCTGGCCGCTGTCAGCCGAAAAGGCTTGTGGCCAGAAGGGATCGGCGAAGACGTGCCCGAATTTGTAGCCATTCACAGCGTGACCCAACTTGTGATCGAGATCGAAAGCCGCGTTGGCTTTGAACAAAGAGTTGCGGTCACTATCTGGCGTGTCGGACAAACGCGGGCGCCGGCTTCGGCTCTACACGGTTGGATTTTCGGACTTCGTTTCGGTCATTATGTCCATTTGATTGGTTCAAGGCTGGAGGCTCGATGCCCGTTGACGGGAGCTTTGGGCGGCGAAATTGAAGTCAATTTCTCATGCGGTTGGACCGCATGTGGCCGTTCCTCTTGCTCGTCCTCGCCCCTGCTGTTTCTCCTCCTCCTCCTCCTTTTCCTCCTCCTCCCCATCCTCCTCCTCCCCCTCCACCTTTCTCCTCGTCGCCCTTGCGAAGGGGCGAATCTGGTTCAGACCTGGTCCAGCGCTGGTCCCAAATGTGTTCACAGGTTCATCGGACCCCAGTGGCGCCAACCCCTTGCGATTCGCCCTTATATCCCCTGTTGTGGCAGATTTGTTCGAGGGCAATCCACTTCAGACCCCCTTATGCCGCCTATGACTTTCAACATTATGCCAAGGTAGGTTGTATCTGGCCTGGCGAATCTTACACCTGTGCCAGAAGTGCCCTAAGTGGCTTGCGGGGTTGAACATCTCTGTGTAGTTTGGAGTGCGAAAGAGGGGGTCTGCAACAGGGGGTCTTCAACGGGGGCTGAATGACCCATGCATGTTCAATGTATCGCTCATGTATTTGAATGGCTACGATCGGCATCCAATGTTGGCGGTCATGAAGGGCCAGTCGTTCGTGCCCTCGCGTTGCTCGCCCGAACAAACACACCGTCCATCCATTAACACATGCGTGCGGGCGTTCTTGCATATTGCGCGTGGGCCTGCAAAGTGGAGTGCAAGTGTGTCTTGATTGTGCGATTAATGATCGCGTATGTCCCAAAAGATGGCTTGTCGACCCCCAAGGCAGATTTGGAATGGGTCCCGCGATTCTCCCAAAATGTGAATTCACAATTTCCTTTTTTCCGAAGTGTGAATTCACACGTTTCTTGTTCCCAAGATGTGAATTAACATCCTGGCCCCTTTCAAAAATGTTCACTCCAAAGTGTGAGTTCACATTTTCTTTTTTCTCCTAAAATGTGAATCCACATTTTGCTGTTCCCCACAAGGTGAATTCACAGTTTGCCCTGTCCGTTAAGATCCCCAAAACTGAGGCGCAGTGTTCCGCATGTCGGAATTGCTGGGCAGATTTCGGCACTCGACTCACTGCTCTCATTTATATCAACATCTGTTGCGCCCTCCGCGCACGTTACCTTCGTCGCCTTTCCCGAGCCCCCCGACCCCTTGCTTCGTTTACCCTCAAGTTTCGCGCATGGGTGCAGGCGTGGAGCTTCACTTGGTTCCCCCGCCGAACACAGCAATCGAGGATGTATCGCCCATGCATGGCCCAGAAAGACACAATTGCCGGGACCCTGCGCCCGACCCCCATTGTCATCTTTCAAGTCGTGGGCGGATCACGTGTGCCCTCCGACTTTTTTTTATGCCCCATCGGGCACGTTAGGCTGATTGTGTAAGCTACGTTTGGACTTGATATAATGCGCCTTGGCATTCACATGCGCCCCCCTTTCGGTAAACCAAACGGGCTGCGTCTACGGAGCCCCCGCCATTAGGCCCTCCGAGGCTGTTGAGGCAGTTTGTCTTCAGACCCCGGCAAACTTATTTGAATGAAGGGTGTCAGGCCCGAAAAATGAGATTAGGACTCCTAAGCAAGTCGGGGCCCACTTGCACGTTTTTTTTCGACCCCACGCTGTTCGACATGGCGGCGGGAAAGGGGGTTGGGAATACCACGCAGCTAGCTGCCTTGTCGGAAAATGTATACCCACGCTGAGTGGTACCTGCACCTCTGCTCGTCTTGGAGAGCCGCCGTCGCCGCGATTCTACCGAAAACGTTGATCAGAGCCCACCCCAGCAGAGGTCCGTGGAGTTGTGGCCTGAGTACTGGTGTTCCTAGAGGCCGCCTTCGGGCCCCTGTTCCCTCCTCGTCCCTCCCCCTCCTCCCTCCCTCCTCGTCCCTCCTCCTCCCTCCTCCTCCTCCTTCCTCCTCCCTCCTCCTCCCTCCTCCTCCTCCTCCTCCTCCTCCTCCCCTCCTCTTCCTCTCCTCCTCCTCCTCCTCCTCCTCCTCCTCCGCCTCCTCCTCCTCCTCCTCCTCCCCCCTCCTCCTCCGCCTCGTCCTCCTCTTCCTCCTCCTCCTCCTCCTCCCCCTCCTCCTCCTCCACGGTGTTAACCATCTGCTGCGCTTCGCCGGGGGATTGCCCGGATCGTCCCGAACGGCCGCTGGAGGCCCGAGCCCGAGTGACGATCCGAAGTCCAGACGACGATCGCTTTCGGGGGGCCCCGGGAGCCTGGGGAGCCCCGGGAGCTTGGGGAGGAGGAGCATGAGGAAGGAGGAGGAGGGGGGGAGGAGGGCACTGAGGAGATTCCGCTGGATGGGCACAACCCCCTTCGTGGTGCGGTGTGGACGCTCCGCCGAGAAGCGCCTGACCCCGGTGGGCACTTGTCCCAAAGTTGGACAGACGCCAGGATCGCGGATTCAGCAGGAGGGGGGAAGGAGGAGGACAAAGTAAGAATAGATGGAGGAGGGAGGTTCGAGTGGGCGAGGAGGAAGAGGCGCAGGAGGAAGGAGTAAGGATGAGCAGGAGGAAGGACAGAGAAAGCATACTTAGGAAAGCAGGCCACGTGCAGAGGGGGGTCGAAGGAGGGGGACGACTTCTTCGAAGCACCCCTGCTTCTCAGAAGGCGCGGGCCGTATTTATATATGTAATTCGGGCCAGCGCCTTCTAAGAGGCAACCTCCTTCCAAGAAGCCTCCCCCCTTCACCTGTGCGCGAAGCCACGAAAGGAGAAGGAAGAAGAGCCGGGGGGCCCAAGGATCGCGTTCGCCGGACTTCGGGTTCGCCGCCGCCACGTTCTGACGAGCCCGTCCTGGATCTTGCTGGTCCGGTATTCGCGGGAGGTTTGCAGCCGGAGTTCGCGCCAGATTTCAGATTGTGTCTCGTCATTTGTTTGACGGCCCCGTCAGGCCAACCTCAGCCATCCGAAACCGAGTCTCACGCCTCCCCGGAATCCGGACATGCGACATTCTGATTTGTTTCAAACGTGGTCCCCAAAAGTCCCGACCTTTTCTCTGGGACCAGTTTCTCGTTTTGGGTTGTTTTTGGACGGTCCCAAAGCCCAGCGAGGGACTCCAGAGGCCGAAAATGGCCAAGAACCTTCCGTCGTGTTTTTTGGGGTACGACTCGGAGGTGGAAAACGACATAAACGTAAATTTTAGGCGCTCCGCGCAGATTTCTCGGATCGGCGCCTGGGCCCCGCCGGCGGCGCATCCGGCGCCGCCCCTGGCGCGCTCCGCGCGCCAGGGAGGGGGGGGGCCAGCTTGGATCCGAGGCACCCGCGCGGAGCGCCCAAAGTTTATGTTTATGGCTTTGTTTGTTGTTGTTTTTTTGTTATTGTGTTTATGTTGTTTCCAGTGCTGTATGTGTTGTTTCTGGGTTGCTTGCTGTTGCTGTTGTTGTTGTTGTTGCTATTGTTGTTGATGTTGTTGTTGATGTTGTTGATGTTGTTTATGTTGTTGTTGTTGTTGTTGGTGTTGTTGTTGTTGTTGTTGTTGTTGTTGTTGTTGTTGTTGTTGTTGTTGTTGTTGTTATTGTTGTTGCTGTTGTTGTTGTTGTTGTGATTGTTATTGTTATTGTTGTTGTTGTTGCTGTTGCTGTTGCTGTTGCTGTTGTTGTTGTTGTGGTTGTTGTTGTTGTTGTTGTTGGTGTTGTTGTTGTTGTTGTTGTTGTTGTTGTTGTTGTTGTTGTTGTTGTTGTTGTTGTTGTTGTGTGTGCGCTGTTTTTCCCAACGACGCGATCATGTCTGAGCCCTCCTCCTCTTGTGTCGGGCTGGACGAAAGGGGGGGATTGGGAAAGGGGGGGTTACGAAATTTGCTGCATGCAGCTGGTTTCGGCCTCACCGAGGGGCACAGTCCTCGATACATAGCTCCATCCGGCGCCTTGAGGCGCCGGGAGAATCAGCTACGTAAGCTGATTCTTAAACCCCTCCTTTGCTATCCCCCCCTTTCGCCCGACCCGATGGTGCCTCGTCCTCCGCCTCCTCCTCGCCCTCCCCCTCCTCATTCTCCTCCTCCTCCTCCTCCTCGCCCTCCTCCTCTTCCTCCTCCTCCTTCTCCTCCTCCTCCTCGGGTCGCCTACGGCCCCGGGGGAAACCGTACATCCTTCTCTTGTGCCTCTGCCGCCGCTGCCGCGGCCGCCCGCCGCCGCCGCCGGGCCGAGCCCCCCCGCGGAGGCACGGGGCGGCCGCCGGGCACCGGCAGGCTGCGCCGGCTCGCCGTCGGGAGGGTCCCCCATGATGCGGAGGCGGCGGCAGGGGCGAACACGGTGAGCCCGCCCGACATCTATATATATATATATATATATATATACACAAGATCTTGTTGGCTCGCTTCGCTTCGCCACAACATCTTGTCCCTCATCCTCATCCTTGGCGCAGGAGCGCTGGTCTGGTATCCCGCCGCGCTTTCTGGTCACAGAATGTGGCGAGCTCGTGAACTTCCATTGCCATGTGGGTGTAAATTTGATGTGCGTCGCGAGCTCAGCGGCTATGGGGGATGAAGCATGATGTTATTGCAGCACCGATTCGGAGGACAATGGGTTGGTGGCCGTGCCTGTGGTCGCGCTGGCGCTCGTGTTGGACACCGTGCCGGCGGGCGTGCTGGTGGCCATGCTGCTCGTTATGGTGGCGGTCGTGCGGGGGATGGTGCTTGTGGGCGGTGGTGCTAGTGGGCGGTGGTGCTGGCGGTCACGCTGGCGGCGTGCTTGTTGTCGTGCTGGTGGTCGTGGGGCCACCGTGGGCGTGGGTTTTCATCAGGAGTGAGCATGTAAGGCAGCCCACAGCCACCCGACGGGCCCAAACAATTTTTGGTTCACGTCGACGGCTGTTTTTTCGCACCGGGCCTCCTGGGCGTCTGGCGCCCTCCGGGCACGCCGGCGCCCTCAGGGCTGCGTGGGTGCGTGTTTTCGTAAGGCGTGAACATGTCCGGAAGCGCAGAGCCACCCGACGTGCCGAATCAATTTTTGCCTCACGTCGACGGGCATTATTTTCTTCGGGGCCTCGGATGGGGGGCTTCTGGCGCCCTCCGGGCACGCGGGCGCCGAGGGGCTGCCGTGTGTGTGTGTGGTGTGTGTGCGTGTGTGTATGTATGTATGTATGTATGTGTGTGTGTGTGTGTGTGTGTCTGTTCGTGCGTGTGTGTGTGTGTGTGTGTTTGTCTGTTTGTGTGTTTGTGCGTTCGTGTGTGTGCGTGTGTTTTCGTACGGAATCAGCATGTGCGCGGGCGCAAAACCACCCGACGGGTTGAACCAACCAATTTTTGGTTTACGTCGACGGCTGCTTTTTTTTTTCGGGCCCCAGATGGGGGCTTCTGGCGTTTCGGGCACGCCGTGCCGAGAGGCTGTCGTGGCTGTGGGTTTTCGTAAGGAAGAAGCATGTCCTGGGGCGCGGAGCCACCCCACGCGCTGAACAAATTTTGGTTTACGTCGACGGCTGCTTTGTCTGTTCGGCCCCAAGATGGGGTGCGTCGACGCTCTCCGGGCACGCTGGCGCCGAGGGGCCGTCGAGGGTGTGAGTTTTCCTAAGGATGGAGCATATCCCGGGGCGCGGAGCCACCCCTCGGGCGAAGCCAATTTTGGTTCACGCCGACGGCTTCGTTTTTGAGAGCGGGACCGGCCGGCCGGCCAACGCGCGGAGTTTTTTTCCGAACGTGGGCGTCGCGCGTCCCCCCGCGCGGTGCAGCGCTATTCGCGCGGGCACCTAATTGGGCGTCGGCGTGTACGTCGCGGCGGCCGTGGCCGCGGGGAAAGTCAGCCGGCAGATGAGTTTGCTGTATTCACACTTCTCCGTTTGCTCCGTGTAGTTCATGAAGCGCGGGGCGTGCTTCGTCCTCTTGCCGGCGGCGGCCTCGGCCAAATAATGGCCAGCCTGGGCTCCGGGGCCGGCGTGCGATGTGGCGGGGCGGGAGCCGGGCCCGAGGCCGTTCACCCATCTTGGCACCTGGGTCAAGTCAGCGGCCGCCTGCCGAGCCGAGAAGTATTCCCGGCCGCGCCCCCGACAATACTTCCGCATCTGCTTCGCTATCTCGTTCTCCAACGCCGCCCAGTCGGAGAACGGGCGGCGGGCGGCGCACGCAGCAGAGGCGGCCGACAGGCCGATGGCCAACTGCTTGTCCGAGAGGCCGGTCTGGCGGTAGGTCCGGAAGCCTCGCTTGGCGTTGGAGTCCCCATGTGGCCGTTTTGGAGAGGCGGGTGTGGCAAACGCGTGAATCCAAGAATCGTCGAAGACCAGTGGAAATCAATGAATTTTGCCTGTTGGGGCTCTCTTGGGAAGGCTCTCGGAGGCCTCTTGGGGCGTCTTGGAGGCCTCGTGGGCCTTCGTAGGAGCGACTGGGGCATCATAGAGCGGACTGTGGGCCGGTCGGACCAGCTTGGGGGTAATTTCGGGCATTGTCGGAGCTGTCGTGAGCCCGTTCAGAGCTCTTCCGGGGGGGCGAATTAGGTGACGCCCATCCGGGGGGGGGGTCCCTTATATTTTGATAGGGAAAAGGAATATGTATGTACACACATATATATATATGTATATGTATATACACATCTATATATCCATGCACGTATGTATGTATATAAAATATATGCATATATACATACATACGTGAACATATTATATATAATATATATATATATATATATATATATATATATATATGTGTGTATATAAATGTTTATATAGACGTATATAGACACGTATCTATACATATAAGATGTATGTGTGTATGTATCCCCGCCTCGCACTGGCTCCGCTTCGGAGGTGGTCCCCCTCGCGCCTCCCGCCGTCGTTGACCCCGCCGCCGCCGCCGTCGTCGTCCTCGACCTTGTCGTCGTCGGCCTCGTCATCCTCGTCGTCGTCCTCGTCACCCCGCACAGGAGGGATGAGCAGCTTTCCCAGGCTTCCCGGAGTTCCTTAATAAGCGTCGGGGGGGCGCCACCCCCGCCGACAGCCCCACATCGCCCTCGTCGCGGGCAGCCACCGCGCGCCGAAGGCGCTCCGACCCCTCGTCGCGGCGCGACGACGAGGCGAGGTTGACGCCCGTCGGGGGGCACCCCCCCAAACTTATCAAGAAGCCCAGAGTACCCTTGCATCCTTGCCCCTTCGGCCAATCCTTAGCGGCTTGCGCTGTCCCACCTCTTTCGCAACGCGTCAGCACGGCCCTCCAAGGCCCTTGCATCCTCACCGCGCATCCTTTGTTTAATACGGGTCGATTGAAACCCAGGGTGGAGTGATACACGCACTCGCCGGTGAGCCTCGCCGGAGGCGCAGGCCATCGCCGCCCGTGGATGCACGTGTGGATATCCCCCTGGGCTGCTCGCCCTCAGCGTCGCCCCCGAGCAGTTCGGGTCGGGTCGGCGACCACGGGAAGAAGTCGGGGTCGGGCCGCAGTTCGGGCCGGGTCGGGTGAGAAGCGAAAGAGGAGGGGAGGCAGGGGCAGCGGCGGAAGGCAGGCGGGCGCGGGCGGAAGCGGAGGGCCCCTGGGGGGGCGGGCCTGGACCCAATCTGTGTAATCCGCCTTTCCTGCTTCATGTTTTTCCCAACCATCCTGTGGTGTTGGGTCCTCGTTTTGAAGAGACGGTGCCCCGCGTTCTCCTTCCTTCCTTCCTTCCTTCCTTCCTCCCGCTGCCTCCTCCCCCCTCCCATCATCATCATCATCATCATCATCATCATCATCATCATCATCATCATCAACACCCAATTCGGCACACCCCTCACACGTTTCGTGGCTCCATAGGGAGCTCCACCGAAGGCCCCAGTGCCCGCGGCCGCATGCGTCACCCACACCCATTTCGGCACACCCCTCACACGTTTCGTGGCTCCATAGGGAGCTCCACCGAAGGCCCCAGTGCCCGCGGCCGCATGCGTCACCCACACCCATTTCGGCACACCCCTCACACGTTTCGTGGCTCCATAGGGAGCTCCACCGAAGGCCCCAGTGCCCGCGGCCGCATGCGTCCCCCACACCCATTTCGGCACACCCCTCACACGTTTCGTGGCTCCATAGGGAGCTCCACCGAAGGCCCCAGTGCCCGCGCCCGCATGCGTCACCCACACCCATTTCGGCACACCCCTCACACGTTTCGTGGCTCCATAGGGAGCTCCACCGAAGGCCCCAGTGCCCGCGGCCGCATGCGTCACCCACACCCATTTCGGCACACCCCTCACACGTTTCGTGGCTCCATAGGGAGCTCCACCGAAGGCCCCAGTGCCCGCGCCCGCATGCGTCACCCACACCCATTTCGGCACACCCCTCACACGTTTCGTGGCTCCATAGGGAGCTCCACCGAAGGCCCCAGTGCCCGCGGCCGCATGCGTCCCCCACACCCATTTCGGCACACCCCTCACACGTTTCGTGGCTCCATAGGGAGCTCCACCGAAGGCCCCAGTGCCCGCGGCCGCATGCGTCACCCACACCCATTTCGGCACACCCCTCACACGTTTCGTGGCTCCATAGGGAGCTCCACCGAAGGCCCCAGTGCCCGCGGCCGCATGCGTCACCCACACCCATTTCGGCACACCCCTCACACGTTTCGTGGCTCCATAGGGAGCTCCACCGAAGGCCCCAGTGCCCGCGGCCGCATGCGTCCCCCACACCCATTTCGGCACACCCCTCACACGTTTCGTGGCTCCATAGGGAGCTCCACCGAAGGCCCCAGTGCCCGCGGCCGCATGCGTCCCCCACACCCATTTCGGCACACCCCTCACACGTTTCGTGGCTCCATAGGGAGCTCCACCGAAGGCCCCAGTGCCCGCGGCCGCATGCGTCACCCACACCCATTTCGGCACACCCCTCACACGTTTCGTGGCTCCATAGGGAGCTCCACCGAAGGCCCCAGTGGCCGCGGCCGCATGCGTCACCCACACACATTTCGGCACACCCCTCACACGTTTCGTGGCTCCATAGGGAGCTCCACCGAAGGCCCCAGTGCCCGCGGCCGCATGCGTCCCCCACACCCATTTCGGCACACCCCTCACACGTTTCGTGGCTCCATAGGGAGCTCCACCGAAGGCCCCAGTGCCCGCGGCCGCATGCGTCCCCCACACCCATTTCGGCACACCCCTCACACGTTTCGTGGCTCCATAGGGAGCTCCACCGAAGGCCCCAGTGCCCGCGCCCGCATGCGTCACCCACACCCATTTCGGCACACCCCTCACAGCTCCATAGGGAGCTCCACCGAAGGCCCCAGTGCCCGCCCCCGTGCGTGCTCCGTC